AGGATACACCAGCACTTGGTTTCAACGAAGCTCATGCTCCAAAGAAGCCAGATTATGAAAATGATAATTTAACCAAATCTGTACATAAGGCATTTAGATCCCTCCTCAATAATATTGGTTTCCTCTCTGGTACCAGTAGAGCTTCTTTCAGTTTGGTAAATGCCAACGGTAGATTCTACAGATCTCTTAAACAACTCGACAAGTTAACTGAAAGAGAAACCATCAAGGTTGGTCTCATCTATGTTGCCAATCAACAAGAAGCCCAAAAGGATATTTTGAAAAATGATGAAACATCAGGCTCTAGAATCTACAAGGAATTTGTTCAATCTCTTGGTTGGGATGCTGATATGAGAACTCATGGTGGTTTTATGGGAGGTTTAGATGAAAATTTGACTACTGGTAATACTGCTCCATATTACTCAAACGCAACAACTGAGGTGATTTTCCACGATGTTACAAGAATGCCAACTAAGGTCAATGACTCGCAACAAATCCAAAAGAAACGTCACGTCGGTAACGATTTTGTCCACATTGTTTGGAGCGAGCACGACAGAGATTACAAACCATGGACAATTCCTTCTCAATTTAACTTTGTTCACATCTGTGTTTATCCATATCAAAGACATAAGGAAACATATTTATTTAGGGTAAGAATTTATACAAAGCCAGAAGTTCCACTTTTCGGACCTCTCCTTGATGGAATGATTGTGGATAAGAAGAACTTGGGACCACTGGTGAGAATGACTGCCATTAATGCTAACAAGGCTGTGAGATATAAGCAAAAGCAATACAGAAAGCCATTCCCAACCAGAAGAAGCCACATTAATGAAATTATTCAAAGACACAAGGCCCAATCTACTTCTAACATTGATTTTATCAAGACCTTCTTCTTGGATCAAGATTACATGTCTGTCGAGTTCAATCCAAAGAAACCACTGGCTCCAATTGCTTCTACTAGTCCAAACACCACTGAAAGTTCCGATACAGGTTCATCAGGATCTTCAACACCAAATTCCAGAAATGTCAGAAACTCGAGAGCAAGTATTAAGAAGAGCGACATTAAACCAGAGGTATCTTCACCAACACAAAAACCGACAACAACGGCTAACACTCCACAACAGCAACAACAACAACAGGAAGAAGTGGAAGAACAAGTCGAGTATGAGTATGTTGACGAAAATGGAGAACCAATCACACTTGCTGAAGGTGAAGAGGTTGAATATATTGAAGTCGAAGAAGAAGAATACCAATAAATTGTATAGTATTTCAAAAGAAGAGGAGTTTACTTGATCCACAAAACAAGAATCCATTCCACAAAAGACATCCCTTAATGGAAGAGGAAGGCCAAAAAGAGATGAGAACAGCTGTATCGATTAACCTTCCCTAATAGTAGCTTGACACTTCACTCACAAAACTCGCTGTTGAACCACACAACTTGCGCGCCATAATACGCCACTTGTTTTCAGAACAGAAAAAAACGCCTTACCTCTCCTCCTTCCTTAAAAACCGGTTCAACTCTAACGATAATACCGATTGTTATTTTGGTTTCACCTTCACCAAGAACAACAAGAACAATACAACAACATTGTTTAATAGTGATTGCTTGGGCTTTAATTTTAAAGCCTTAGTAATAGATATTTTGATTTTCCGGTTAATATCATCAGAACAAGATGAGAAGTTCTATTGCTGGAGCCTCTTTTATTGGCTCGGATAGTTCTCAAAACTCTGAAAGCATTGTCTCAGAGTCGGCAAGTTCTCTCCAAGTCAAGGTTAGAACTGAATTTCTTTCCTTTGTATTCACTGCACAAAACACATCAAGAAGACATGGAACACGTACATTTGTCATGACCCTTACATTATACATTCTCTTGTTTTGGAGTTTTATTTGGATGCCCTTACTGAGTCCACATCACTTTAACTTTGGTGTTTGGGGATCTTGGATTTTCACAGTATTGAACTATACAACAAGTTTATCGTTGGATCTTATTCCATATGATGGAGCCATTGCTCTTGCTAGTATTTCAATGTTTTTCGTGCTTTTCGCTCTTGGAGCCTTTGCACTCACCATTAGAGCTGTGAGATCCACTTCCAAGTTTATTCCCTATGTGAAGTATGTGTTTCACATTTCCTTGTTTGCTCTCCTTATTCTCTCTGCACCAATGACCTACATCTTCACGAGCTTTGTTGATTGTGACTATGGATACAATACCAACAATTTGGTGCAACAACAAGGATCTACAAGTGTGGCTGTTGGTTCACTGCTGAGTAACTCCACGACCACTACGACATCCTATTTGAATAGATTTGATTCAGTTACATGTTTTGAAACGAGGAACATTGTCATGATGGCCCTCTCCTTAATATTCATTGTCCTCTTACAAGTTGAGGCGTTACTGACTGTAATCATGCTTCCAAATTCTCATCCCTTAAGCACAACCCCAATGATCGGAGATAGTGCCATTCTTCCTCTTTTGGGAGTTATTTGCAACATTTTGGGCATGCTTGTACACTTTTTAATACCAGCCAACTATGCATTCATTAGATCGATTGTGCATCTGGTGTGTTCCTTCATATTATTAGTCTTGCTATTCAAGATTTTCCCAATGATGAGAAGGTTTGAGAACTCAATAGTGGCTGGGGTAATAAGCGCTCGTATTGGTGCCAGTATTGGTGGTCTCGTGACAAGTTTGGCTAATCCAACCAATGATAATGTTATGGGTGTGGGGTTATCAATGATGACTCTTGCTTTGGTGGTTCTTCTTGGAATTCTAGGAGGCGTCATTGCAGAAATATACTCAAGAATCATTGTAAAAAAGCTGAGAAAGAAGTTTATTACAGCAATTCAAGATAAAAACATTGAAAGAGAGGCCCTTAATATTTATCAACAGCTTGAGGACGATGGAAACCTTTCCAAGATGGACATGTACATGAGGTTTACAATGGGAGTGGAAGTAATGCTAAAGGATGAAGAAGAAAATGCAGACTTGATGTTTATCATTTCATTCATCAGGGCTATTTCCTCTCAGAAGGGTTTCAGTGACCAAAACATTTTGAACAGCTCTGCATGCATTGCTGCCTACTTTATGGGAGAAGAATTGAACGCGTCCACGTTTGCACTTGCTCTCCTTAAAAAGGCTATCAAGCAACGACCAAATTTGTACATGAGATTTTTACTGGGTCAACGATTGAAAGAAGTTGAAACTTCTACTACTGAGGGAATAAGGGGACAAAAGAATGCAATCGATCTTAAAGCTACCTTTTCAAAGATTGAAAAATCCATGCTTGAGATTACATCTCTCCATCGCCATTTTTGGAAGGAGCAAATGCAAGAGATAGTGAACTATGAAAAGATTGAAAGCATTGCTTCTCGTAATGCCGTTCTCATTGAGGAGTGTGATAACATGTTCAACAGCTTACTATCGCTCTACTATAACGACAAGACTGTCTTGAGAATGTATGCTAACTATTTGGAGAATATCAAGTTTAATAAGGACCTTGCCAGTGAATACTTTAATGAAGCAATGACTCTTGAGGAAGATGAAGGTAACTTCCAAAAAAGAGGTGCTGCTTTCAAAGCCAAACTAGCAAGAAAGAATAGAGTACATCCAGACTCTAATTCTGTTGGAACAGCTGAGACAGTTGATAACTCTAGAAAGTTGATTCAAGCCTCCGTTAATGCTATCAATTTTACCGTAGAAAACCCTCAATCCTTTTCACAAATGAATTATGAAACAATGAGTAGTATTGAGGATAGTTTTGACAATTTCAACGGTATTGAAAATACTGTTTCTGGCGAACAAAAGAGAGAAATGGTATTTAGAAATGCGCTTTCTGTGCCAGCACCAAGAAATATTCAAATGACCATCTTTTTCTTATTTGCTGGGTTGGGATTTGCCTTTTTAATTGCTGGTATCGTAATTGCCCTCAACTTTTCAGATGTCGTTACATTGAATGTTATTAACGTGATTGATGCTTGTTCGCCAATAGCTGCATTGTCAAATATGTTGGTAACAGTTCGTGCCTATCAATCTACTGTAAATTTAATGAATTCCACGTCTTCTTCAATTCCAAAAACAATGACCAGTGAAATGTTCCTTAGCCCTAAATTGCTGAAACAGAACATTGTAAAATTGAGACAAATCTTGGTTAATTTACAACAAAAGGCCTATGATGCCAAATTCAATCCATCAGTTTACTCACATTACCATGAATTTTACTATCCTTTCTATGTTCCAAAAATGCAATCAGATGCAACAATGGAAACCAAGTTTTACAACGAAACCATGGCAGAAAATGTGACCATTACTGATATTACCAATGTTCTTGTAAAGCTTTCTGATCAAATGGTTAACAGTGGAGACGACCAATTAATGAATAGTTTAAATAGTTATGGGTTTATGCTCATGTACAGAAATCAAGAAACCATCACTTATGCCTATCAAAAGTTTTGCAGAGTTTTTACAGATTCTGCAAAGGAGGATGCCCTAAGAATTAACGACACCTTTACCATATTTACATCTGTTGTTCTTGCGTTCTATGTGGTTTATGCAACAATTTACCTGCTATATAGTAGATTTGAACTCTCTACAATGAAACAGCAAATCAAACTAATTCACACCCATGTGTCAAAGAATGAAGTTGGTAAACTCTTCCATGATCTTGGTAAGAAAGTTGGTGATGAAGTTTCTATTCATATTCCCAAGACCTCCATTCTTAAACCGAAGAATATCTTTATCATTATTGGTATTTTTGTAATGATTGCTGTGTCTGTCAGTTTGGGTATTTTCCTTAAAGAAACTCTTGGAAATTCCAAGTACAGTTTTGAATCTTACATTACCATGGAAGATGGTTTTGATGCAATGGCATTCTTACAACGATTGTCTTTCAATGTTGCAGAACAATTCTATCATTCTTCCACAAATATGTTGAACAATTATGGACTAGATGAAATACCCATACTCGCAGAATCTGATATCAAAGTGCTAAGGACTAACTTTGACTATGTTGTTTTCAAATTGAGATACTTTTGGAATTTGTGTATGTATGGTTCTGCTGTTAAGGCGTACGAAACTCTAGTTGTCGGTATGTTTCCAGAAACTGATCACATGATTCGTGGGGATTTGAATTGTACAATTGAATCTGTCTCTTCAATATACAATGCCATGGTCATTCCAAAAGGATACAAACCAGACAATTACACACAATGTGATTTTGGTATTGATTATATGGTTCAGGATACTATTCTCAAATCCTCAAGAATTATCGAAGATTTGGTTGCAACAACCAAAACTTCCAACTATCAAGACTTGCTTGTTATCTTGCAAGAATTTTATGCAGTTGCTTTTTTGGCTAATACTGCATCGTTCAAGTTGATTGACTTTTCACTTATTTTTGCTGTTAAATCCTCAACTCCAATGGTAACTCAAATAACAGCTTTGGCCATTGTTGGATTTACAGTCAACCTTATTGGTTGTGTAATTATGTACTACTTTTTAAGGATACACTGGAAGAATGTCTTTTCTCTAAGGTCCTTATTCAATTATTTATCAATTGAAACATTTGAAAATAATGAACAATTGAGAAATTATGCTCTTTATCACTCTCTCAGCGATGGTGCCCTATCTCGATTATTTGTCAAGAAGAGAAATGTTGGGGGAGAAGATGCCAAAGTTAGAAATATCTTAAATGCTGCTGTTGATGGCGTCATTTTGTGTAGCCATCGTGGTGATATTGAAATTTTCAATCCAGCAGCTCAAAGAATGTTTGGAAATCAACAGGAAGATGTAATTGGTAAATTGCTGTTTACACTCCTGTGTCCACAACATCATGATGAAATTAGAAAAGCTGTAGACAGTATGAAACAAACTGTCACAGAATTTGATCCAAAGGGTGAATCCTTTGACGTGGAATGTATTAGAAAGAATCAAACTACATTCCCAGCCAAAATGAATATTTTTGTAACTCTCTTTGAGAAGAAACCAATTATCACATGCTTTATTAAGGATATTACATCAGAAAAGAAGGTTTGTTTTCTTTTTATTAGTTTTTTTACATGTTCTATTCTATAATAATCATCTTAAAACCTTACAATAATATAGCATAATGCTCTCCTTGCTGAGGAGAAGAAAAACTCTGAAACTTTATTATTGAACATTCTACCAGGAGCAGTGGCAGCAAAACTTAAAAATGGCACATCATTGATTGCCGAGAAATTTGCTGATATCACTTGCTTTTTCTCAGATATGGTTGGATTTACTAGTTTATCTTCAAAATTAGCTCCTAATGAATTGGTTCAAATGTTGAATCAAATTGTTATGGGCTTTGACGATTTGACAGATCGTTATCATTTGGAAAAGATCAAGACAATTGGTGATGCTTACTTTGCAGCAGGTGGTTTGCATGATTTGAATGCTCAATCAGACCATCCTGAAAGAGTCTTAAAGTTTGCCATTGATACCTTTGGAGTGATTCGTTCTTTCAATTCCAACTTTAGAAAGGGAAGATTTGAAGAACAAGTTAACATTAGAATTGGTATCAACACTGGACCAGTTGTAGCAGGTGTCATTGGACGTAAGAAGTTTGCCTATGATTTATGGGGTGATTCAATCAATACAGCCTCTCGAATGGAATCAAATTCCAAGCCAGGAAGAATTCAAGTTTCTCGGTCTACCTATGAGAGAGTATATGACTTGGGCTTTTCATTCGAAGAGAGAATGATTGAAGTTAAGGGCAAGGGAATGACACAAACTTACCTCCTCTCTGCAAAGCATCACGAATCTGCTGTCTTGACCAGTGAAGAATTGAATGCAAATGCTGATAATTTCATTGGTGAAGATGTATCTAGTGAAATTCAACCAGAAGATGAAACTTTACATTAAATAAACTTGAGCGTAATGAACGTTAGGCTTTAAAGAATGAAATTATTGTTGGCTGTGCTGGGAAGGAATTTGAAATGCAGTCGGAGCACTTGATGTTGTGAAGTAACAAGATGGAGCATTACTTGATGAATTTGTGCAGATAAATAGTATCATCACAGTAATTTAAAGCAAAGCATAAATATTCCCCAGTCTCTGGACAACACTTCGTCGTTGCAGCTGTTCGGTTACTAAATTTTGATAAATTGGCTCATCGTCATGCTGTAAAATTATCGATTAGTTTTCTGTACAATAGCTGGACAATTACGTTTCGAAACTTTGTACTTTTATTGAAAATTCTCTCGGAACAAAATTGGTTGCACAAAGGTGCAAGTCTTCTTACGAAAGAGCAAAACAATTCAAGTTAATTTACTTGGCACGTTGCTTCATCTGTAATAATAATATTAAAATAACAGTTTAAGAAACCACACCATACTATGAATATTCACTTACCTTCCTTCTCTTTTTCTTAAGTCTACGCATACGCTTCTTCTTCCACTTTTCTCTCATGGTTATTGTATTTTTTTTGCAGATGAAAACTCCAATATTCAACAGCGTCAATCAATTTAAGCTTATTTTCTCGCGAAAGTGAAGTTGCGCGCCATAAAAAAATTGTAAACTCGACGCAACGTGTTGTTTTTTAAGCCTTAAAGTGAAGCCAAGTCGATACAACACAAAGAGGTGTCGAGTGTTTTTTGCTGGACGACTTTTTTGGGCAAATTATTAAACGGAATTTACAATAAATTAAAGAGGCGACACAACAACATCTTTTTCAACAATTTGTAAGGATGATGGTTCCCATGAAAGAGTGTGTGCATTCCGATGCTCAGAAAAATTGATGAAAATATATTATTGATGATGAAGAATTAATTGTAAATTATTTAAAAAATGAAATCACACAATGATGAGGAAATGAATGATGGTCAATACGAGTATGAACCAAAATTAAAAAAGAAGAAGATTGAAGATCATCTAAATAATGATGACGATCGCACCCGATTGGTGTTTCTTGATGGAATTGAGAAACATTATATGAATTCATTGCTTTGTAAGAAACTTTGCAATCCATCCACGATGACTTGTTTGGAGGGGGCTAAACTTGTTGTTCGTAGAACATTTGAAATATCGGATGGAATATCATGCATTCAAATACATCAAAAAAAGCAATGGTTGCTTGTTGTTACTTGTTTAAAAGATGATTCTGATCATATTGGTTTTAAAATTATCAGTTTGGAGAGTGGAGTAACATTGCACAGTTTTAGATTAGAAATTGATAATGATGTTTATGGAATGTGTATTGTGGAGAGTGAGCATGGGGATAATGATATTGTCTTCTTGTATAGCCATAGAGAAGTACTAAAAATCAAACTTGATACAGAGAGGGATTTACCAATTTTGAACCATAGATCATTCTTACAGTTTGGTGATATTACAGATTTGAAATTTATTGAATCTAGGAATGAGTTATTTGTGGGTTTTACAAACCAATTATTAGTATTTGACGGTGAATTTTTCGTGAAGACGAAGTTTGCAAGTGAAAGTGAATTGTATCGAACATACTACACTCATTATAATCCAATTCATGATCAATTATTCGTATTTTCTAATAATTACCCGGAACATGTGTTAAGGAAATACTATGGACCAAACTTTTCAGAAAGTGAAATGGTAATGTACGTTGACCTGGATGATAGTATTGGGCTTGCGGAATTACTGTTCGAAATGGAGCTTGATAAGTTTTACGTAATGAGAGTAGAAGACGACTTGTTTCTTATCGAAAAATCAAACCATTTACTTCTCCAAAAAATTGAGACTGATTTGCTGATAGAAAACTATTCTTACGATAGAGCTTCAAAAACAATATTTGGATATACTAGGGAGAGGAAAGTCTATCAATTAGAATTACAATTAGACACTTACTCTATTGATAAACCTTTGGAAGAGGATGTTTGTTTAAAATTGGAAAAACTTGGATTAAATTTACCTCGAGTAATTGTTAAGGAAAGCAATACACCAAATGCAGTGAGCTTTTTGAAACAAATGAGGTCGGAACCAAAGCCGTTCGCTGAACTTCAATTTGAAGGGGTTGCGAACCAATCACTAATTTCTGAGTATTATGAAATAATTGAAAACAAGCCTGTTAGACTTGACAAGGTTAGAGGTGTACATTATGATTTCTCTTTTAGTTTTAAAACAATTGTACAGGAAGATTTAAAGGGCCTTTTTCCAACCAAATTTCCAAACGACGAAGTGTTTCTTATTGGTGGTCACTCAGTTCGGTGCGATAAGTATTGTATAGGAGTATTACTATCAGATTTGCATCAAAATGGACAGTATTTAACAGATTTTCCAATCTTAGTTATTCGAGAAAAGAATATATTTAAATGTAAATTATCAGATTTCCTTGGCACTCTAAAACCATGCATTAGTGTGAAACTTAAAAGGGATGACGATACCAAAGAGTTCAAGTTCAAGTTGCAAGAAGTGTACGAAGCTTTAAAGAATAATTCATTAATTTCTCAAATTTCTTTAGAGCTCAACCCTACCATATTATTAAAATCTTACAGAAATGTAGCAACTAAACCTCAGTTTAGTACTTTGCTCCAGGTTAATCAAGAACTCAAGGAACATATTGTAACAATCAACAAGACGGAATATTTATTGGTAGATTTATTAGTCATGGCACAAGCTAGTGGAAAAAGAGAATTGATACAATTCCAAACTGAAACTTTTTATGACTCTGAGAATGATGAATAGTTCAATTTATTATTTAACAGTAATTGGTAAAGCTTGTTTAAATGGTCCATCAATCAAACATTAACATCCATTAATTACCTAAATGGAATGGAAATATTTTACAAAAAAATGAAATCAAGGCTTCTTGAAGAAACTATCAGCGAACACGAACCAAAATTAAAAAAGAAGAAAATTGAAAGCCTTCATGATGAAGAGAATGATGACTCTGAAAATCTCACAAGATTGGTATTTCTTGATGGAGTGGAGAATCATTATACGAATTCAATGCTTCGGGAGAAACTCCACACTCCAACAATAACTTGTTTGGAAGAGACTAGTCTCATCACTCTTAAAACCTTTAAATTATCGGAAGAAGACTATGGCATACCATCCATAACAATACATCCCACCAAAAGGTGGCTACTTGCCGCCAACAACAAGGCTTCAATTCTTATTGTTTGTTTAGAGAGTGGAAATGTTCTATATGATATTAATCATTTCCATGGAAATGTGATAGCAATGCACATTGTAGAAAATGGTGATGGGAAAGAAATCTTGTATACTATTTCGCAAGATTATTGTTTGATGAAAATTCTACTTGATCCAGATCAGAAGTTCCCAATTATGAAAGAAGTAGAACCAGTAATGGATGCAGATAGCTTTACTTGTGCAAATTTGGAATTTATTGGACCTAGAAATGAGTTAATGGTTGTGAACTTTGGAAAAATTCTAGTATTTGATGGAGATAGCTTGGTGTTCAAGTATACATTTATTGATGATGACGCACAATATGTTGTTCGTTATTATCCCCATTCTGATTATTTGTTAGTGTTTGGTAATGGCCATAGTTCGGAGCATTATGTGAGAAAATATTATGGTCCAACCTTTGCAAAGAGTGAAATATTATTTTCTGTAGAACAAGATGATCGTATTGGGATGGTGGAATTAATGTTTGAAATGGAGCTTGATAAGTTTCATGTCCTTAGATATGAGGACGGTCTGTATCTAATTGACAAATCCAGTCACATGGTTATCAAAAAAATTGGAGATGATGTACTGATGGAGGCTTACGCATACGATAGAGTTTCTAAAACCATATTTTCATGTGGTAAGGAGCAAGTGTATCAATTAGAATTGAAATTAGACACTTACTCTATAGATAAACCTTTGGGTGAGGAAATATGTTTGCAATTGGAAAGACTTGGAGCAAAGTTACCCCAAGTGATTGTGAGGGAAAATAATGTGCCAAACGTTGTGAGCTTTCTAGCAAATATGAACTTTGGATTTAAACAACTTGTAGAATTTAAGGGGTTTAAGGATGTTTCAGTAATTTCCGAGTTTGTGGATTGTGACCTTAAGCAAGTAGTTGACGAGCTAAAATCTATAGATTTTACTATTGCATTGCAAAATATCAAACCAGATTTAGAGTATTTATCCGATTATTTGCCAATTGATCAAGTTCACATTATTGGTGCAAACTCAATTAGTCCCGATGATTACCATTTAGCAGTATTGCAATCAGATTTGCAACAAAACGGAAAGAATTTGACAGATTTCCCAGTGTATCTTTGTGTACCACAAGAGTTCACTGTCAAATGTAAATTATCAGATTTTCTGGACACTTTAAAACCATGCGTTAGTGTGGGTCTTGAAAATGATTATTATACAAAAGAGATCAAATTTAACTTGCAAGAAATGTACAAATCTTTAAATAATAATTCATTAATTGATCCACAAACTCTTGAGCTCGATTCTGGAAAGTTATTGGACGTTTATAGAAATATTACATTGTCACCTAATTTTGGAGACTTGCTAAAGGTTTTGAAAAAGTTCAGGAAGAATGTGGTGATCTTTAATAATAAGGAATATTTATTAATGGATTTATTGGCATTGGCTATCGAAAAAGAAGTATTTAGTTTCCACAATGACATTTACGAGGATTAGGAAGAATTTATTAGTGCATACTATGGAGTGATTATATTCGATTCAATTAGGCAAGTTTAGTGATCAATGTTGTGTGATTAGTTCATCCCAATATTTCCATGTTTCCATAACGGAACATCCTGCCATGTTAGTTTCTCATTCAATTTAAAACGAAGGCTTGTTTGTGATTCGTATTGTGAAACTGAAAGAGGCAGAAATAAAGGCTAGTTTCGAATACAAAAAAAATGAAAACAAAGCATATCTTTGAGGTGAATGATTACGAACCTAAAGCTAAATACAGAAACATTGAAAAAAGCCTTGACTCTCACGCACCAGTCCGTTTAGTTTTCATTGATGGAATCTTGGAGAAACATTTCACACATTTATGGTTGGAGAAGAAACTTTCCACTCCAACTCTTCTATGCTTGGAGAAGGCTTTTCTATCTCACCTGAACACTTTTCAAATAGAAATCGAGACAACCCTCGACCTTAGAATCCACATGAAGAAACGATTGATAATAGTTTCCGAAAGTAGTGATAGACCAAACTCGAATTGTTTTCTGCATGTCTTCGACATGGACAGTAAGAAATTTATTCATCGGTGTGATTTGGGTGATCTTATTGCATTCTATCCAATGTGTATTGTTCAGGAGAATCCTCCAGACGAAAGTCCAGATGATTTAATCGTGTAGGACTTGGTGAAGGCTAAAATCGATCCCAATGGGAAATTCACCGTTTTGCAAAGAAGGAATTTGGGAATTACAAATCTGGAAGCTGATTTGTTGGAATATTCACTTCCCAGAAATGAAGTCATTCTTTCGAATGATAGACAGATTCATGTTTTGGATGGAAGTACTTTACAACACAAATACTTTGTTGATACTTTGAGGTTAGAAAACACATATTCTATAACCTATGATTCTAATAGAGATGCATTGTGGATTAATACTAGAACTGAGGACAAAACATCAGAGCTCAGATTATTCACTGGTAGAAACTTCTCAAATTGTGAACAACGAGTCAAATTTCAGTGTTGGTTGCGTTTTGTTGGTGAATTGGATCATTATCTTGTTTTGAGGGATAGTACCTATATGTTTCTTTATGATAAGACAACTCATGCAATTATCAAGAAAATCTGGATTGGAGATATTTGCTTTAAAGCAGGAGATGTGTTTCTTGACAAGGTTTCAAAGACTATGTACATATCTTCAGACGATATTTATGTTTGTTCCTTGGTATTAGAAACTCATTCAATTGACCTACCTCTAACACGTAAGGTTTATTCTCAATTGAAGGACCTTGGTGCTAGATTTCCCAATGTTATCAAGAGAAGAGAGTACGAATCAATTACGGTCAATTATTTGTCTCATATTGCATGGAAGAGTTTTTCTAAATTCGAGATGAATTCCTCATTGAAAGAAGCTCTCAACAATAATGATTCTCAAGATTGTTTGTTCCAATTGGAACCACCTTTGGGCGCAAGCAGATATGCAGAGTATTTTTCTTTTGGTGATTTCCATATCTTGTTGGATCCCTCAGAATTGAGCAAGAATGGTCAATTGGCATTTGACTTTCCGGTTCACGTAATGCTCCAAAAACCTGATCGCTCTCTCAAGTGCAAGTTCTCTGATTTCCTAAGCTCCCTTGAATGCCGATTGAAATTTGAACATACCTCCTTAGGGCATACTGCCTCATCTTTTGAAGTAATCAAAAAATGGTTGCCATTCAATGCAAACTCTATCGTCAGCCAATTGTTGGAGAAAGGTCTGATGGATAAGGAAAATTTAGAGCTTGATCCTCAAATGCTAGTGGAATCGTATAGAGTTGTCACTATGAGAAAAGAAGGCGAATCTATTCTGAGTCTTATTGTTAATGATATTAGAGACGAAGTTGTGGAAATTGGAAAGAAGAAATATTTGATTGCTGACTTGATTATTATGTGCTTTGGAAGAGGTTTATTGGAATTGGATTTTTTATTTAGATATTTAGAATAATTTCAAATTCTAATTGTTTTAAATATTTTCTATATATAAATTTGCTATTTTTGGAAATGTGTTTACAAAATTTATTGATGGAACTCACTCGTATGAATCACACACAATTTCATATCGTGCAAAATTTACAAAAATTGCAGAACTTTCGCTGACCTTTCGTCTACATTAAATAGGAATCTGCTTCCTTCTTTTCACAAGCTTTCTTTTCACAAACTTTCTTCTTTTCATATTCCTTACAGACCTTCTTACCACCGACAAGTTTATGCTTGATGCAAACCTTCTTTCCCTTTGACTTTCTAATACATTTCTTCAATTTCTTAAACTTTAAACATTTCTTCTTGGTTTGCTCGTGCTTGATGCATTTCTTCTCAGTCTTGAATTTGATACATTTGGAAACTTTCTTATGTTTCTTACAAACTTGTTCCTTCTTGTAGTGCTTGCAGACCTTCTTTTCCTTTGCACAAACTTTGACATTCTTACAAGATTTTCCACTTTTGGAATACGAATCTGTGGACGAAACTGTTTCGCATTTCTTCTTGGTGGTGTATTGGTCGCATTCAGTAGCATGACGAGTACAAACTTTTTTGGTGGTATATTCATCGCAGACCTTTTCAGTTTTCTTCTTTTGACAAACTTTCTCGCTCTTGTGCTTGATACATTTCTTGGTTGGTTTCGAATACTTTTCACAACTTTTGGAATGCTTGTATTCTAAACATGTACCTTCACCTTCTGTCTTGTGTTTGATGCAAACCTTTTCTTGATCTTTCATTTCGTGTTTCAAACACTTTCCCTTTTCAGTCTTGAATTTAACACAAACGAGTTTGCATTTCTTATGAGTTTCGTCTGATTTCTTCTCTTCAGAATCCTTCTTCTTATCTTCATCAAACTTGGTTTCCTTAAAGTCGTCTTTTCCATTAGTTTCGTCTCTCTTGTGATTTTCCTTTTTAGAACTTTCGTCTTGTTTCTTCTCAGAATTTTCACCAACTGGAATTTCTGCTGGTTTGGTGGTAGCAACAGAATCTGAGCTATCACTTGTACTGTCAACGTCACCTGCCAAGACAAAGACTGAAGCCAAGAGGAGAATTAATGCGATTGCAATGATTTGTTTTTTCATTTTGTTTTTTTTTGTTATTGGAAAGGAATTGATAACAAACTATTCGAATTTATTTCGTTTGTTATCTGAAATGAATGGAGAAAGTTTACAATTGAAGAAACATGACCTTAATGTAAATTTCCAAAATTGTAAAATTTGAAATAATCATGTTTCTAAATTTGGATGAGAACGAAAAGGAGAAAATTTGCAGAAATGTAAATAAATGCTATTTCGAATTCTTACAAAGATTATTCTGTGTTCTTCTAATTGTAACTATTCGAAACTTTCGAATAACTTTAGATTAGAATACAATTAGTTTCACCACACAGTCCACAATGTAGTAGTTGAGCTGACTCAACTTTTCATGAAGAAAAACTTTTGTGTCCATGAAAATTGCAAGTTTCGTCTTGCCAAGTTTTGGCATTTGGATTCTTTGATCTCGCTAACATATCCGAAAGGTCAAACCGAACTTTTTCATAATTTAAAAAAATGTCACGATTTGCATTGACACTTGTCCTGTTAATCATTTCACTCTTGATCAGTGACAGTTACAGCTCAACAAGCCAAACTTTCGAAACACAACATCTAGGACAGCTACCACAACTTGATCATGTTCTTGTGGCTGTCGATGAAGTAATGCGTCTGCCACCTGTCAGTCAATCCTATTTTCCAAGATTATTTTCACTCGACTCGACAATTTTTGAATATTGTTCAACAAACGCAAGTTTTTCGCAAAGATTTCAACTTTTAGGAGAGTTTGATATTAATTCTTGTTCTGATCTTCTTTGTAACAAGATGAATCAAGTTTTACTGAACTTGACTAATATTGAACAATTGGATCAGGTGGATTCGGCTGTGAATGCTTGTCTTTATTGTAAACATATGGAAAATAGAGGTGAATTTGTGGAGATTTACAATAATGGAACATGTTTTGATGTGAATCAAATATTTTCAGAGATTGAGTTTACAATGGTTCTGAAACGACAATGTAATACTGGAGAGGAGATGGTGGATTTGCCATTGTTTGATTATGAAATGTTGACTACTCCGTTCTTTGTTGGAAAATTGGGAGATTATAAGAAAAGTCGAAACGAAACTGTGAATACGAAATATGTTTCTCTATACGAAATGTTTTCCTTTTTCAATAGCATTTCTAGGGAAGATTTGGCTGATTTGAAAAGACAAGGACCTTTTCACTTACCTGTTCTATGTTGGTGTAATTACCAAAATCCAAATTCACTTTCGTTTGCTTTCTACTGTAATGATGCTTATCATTTATTCTTTATTCCATTGAGTTATAGAGCTGTTCAGTGGATTTTCTTTATAATTTTCGAGGGATTGTTCATGTTCATTGTTTGGGCTATTCTTCTACCAAGGTTGATTGAGAGAATTAAGAAATTTAGACAAATGGCCATGAGAGATATTTCCTTTTCTGGAGCAGCTTTATTTTCCAAATTTAGAAAGACGATGAAACACTTTTTTGACATTGTCATGCATCCTCCAATCATGTTAAGTATGAGTTGTCTATGTGGTGGCTTAGAAAATCTTTTCCGATTTGTTTTTAACTTTTCCCAAACCAAAGATTTCAATGATCGCTACTTTTCTGGATTATTCCGAGGAATCTCCGCAGTCTTTGTTGTTTGTGCCTACAGTTCATTGGTTATTTCATGGTCACACGTGATTGACATATCCACAAGGAAAGACCAAGGATCCAAAGGTTTGTCCAAACTTAATAAGGCAATTTTAATTGCTTTCTATTTGGGAGTCATTTTAGTTTTGATTATTTCTGGAATAGTTTACGCCACAGTTTCAGATTATGGTTATGCATGGATTGTACTTGGAGCTTCAGTTCCATTATTTTTATTGACATTTGTCATTGGTTTTATGTTTTATGGATTCAAAATCTTTTTAACTTTGAGAAAACGAGATTCGAATGCTGGAATTCTCGAATATCGTTTCACCAAGTTTATTCTCCTTGTTTCCATCTTGTCAATTGGTGTCTTGATTGTTTGTTTCCTGAACTTGTTCACATTCATTCTTGGTTATGACATTTTAGGATTATTTTGGGGAATTACAAGAAATATCTTTCTCGATACCAGTTTGATAACACTCATCAGTTCGTGTACTTACATTACCTTGAATGAGGAATCGTTTAGAATAATGTACGGAGATCGAATAACTGATAGAGTGATGAAATGTTATGAATTGATGAAATGTACATGGAAAGGAATGAGGGATGAGAAGAAGGAAGAGAAATCTAGCAGAAGGCCTTCTATCAAGAATTCACAAATGGCCTATCCAATTGATCAATCAGTGGTGAATAATGAATCAACTTCTGAACTATTGTCGACAATATCAAGTACAAACAATTTAGTTTCCTCTCAAAATTCACCTCTTCCATAATTCAATAATTGTAATTTGTGTTTAGAATCTTTTCAGTTATTATTCAGTGTGTACATTTCAATTGTGGAATGTCTTTTACCAAAATTAGTAAGTGATATAACAACTCCTATTCAATAATGATTGAATATTTCTGGTTTCAGTGAATTCCAAATAATTTAAGGAAGAATCTGATATGTATTATCTGAGCTAGAATAGTCAGTAATTTTTCGTAGACCTTTGCATTGTTTCCATCTACAATGGTTCTGATAATATAATCTTCCTTCTTGTTGGAAATATTGTTATTATTATTATTATTATGTTGTAATATTATCTGATAATTCCTCAATCACTACGGATAATATTCATCATCATCATCATCAGATAATTTATTAATTTTCCTCTATTTCCTAACAGTAATCCTCCTCCATCTTCCGTAAATCGTTTGATAATCATCATAATATATTCTTCTTCTTTTTCAATACCAACTAACTCTTAACAAAATGATGTTTCCTCACCGGAAGATGTTTCTAAAATTCATCCAAAATGCAGAGAACAATCCAATGATGATTCTGATGAAGTATTATCATTCAAGAGTGAGCAGCACCTTTGGTTGTTCTTTCATATTTTTAAAATTGTTACCGTTAAAAAAATTAACACTCAAAAACACAAAAAAATAAAAATAATCATCAAAAAGGATTTTCCTTCATCGGGTGCTTATTAATATTTGAATCCATCAAACTGATTATCGGAATTAGAAACATATCCAACAAGTCAAGTAACACTACCAGCTGAAAAGGCCTCTTCAAATCCTTCAGCTGATCTTCAGTGAACTGTCCGTTGACCAAATAATGAAATTTATTTCATTACACAGATGGTAGTGTACATGTGCATACTTGCAAAACAGTAACACAATTTGGCTAAAAGGACCTGTTGTCTGAAGTGTCATCCATCTTCAAGAAAGTGTCACCAGAAACAAATTGAGTTTCAGACATGTCATCTGCCAGGAACATTAATTTTACCAACAACACAACAAAAAAAACATGCAACACCAAGCACCTTCCACATTATTTCTCTATTTTGTCTTTGCATTTGTGGTACAGACATGTTTTCACAACCATCAACAACAACTCTCAGTTTTGGCTGTCAATACATGTTATGGCTATTCGGCCACAGATTTGAACTCATGCGGTGGACATGGCTTCTGTGCTGGGTCAAATAATTGCTATTGTGTGGATTCAACAAGTGGTAACACTCTGTATTCATCGGGTGGAACCAACAACCTCTATCAATCAAATTCTATTTACTCATCGAATGGAATTTACCAATTGAAACAACAAGTGGATGGCAATTTGGTGCTTTATAAACCTGGATTGGTTGCCTATTGGGCATCTGATACTAATGGACAAGGAACAGCTCCGTATAATTTAGTATTGTCATTGGATGGCACTCTTGAGATACGAGACCAGGGAGGTGTTTTAAAGACAATTTCTTCTGCATGCACCTCTGGTACAGCCCCTTTCAGATTAGTCATGCAATCAGGTAAGTTTCTATTGAATTGTTATGATGGAGTGAGTTGTTTATTCCATCAACATCAACATCATCAATGATAATATCAGATGGTAATTTGGTACTCTATGGTGCCCAGAAGGAAGTTTGCTGGACAGCCAATCAGTATTTTGGAAATTCACTGACCTACACTTGGTCTGGTTCTCAGTGTAATGAATATCTCTGTTATGGATTATATGGATCGAGTGCTTGTAGTGGACATGGATCATGTAATGCTCGAGATAGTTGCTCATGCTATTCTGGATATTCAGGAAGTACGTGTTCAAATTACTATTGCAATAGTATTCTCTATTCTCAAGTTGGTACTGTTTGCAATGGTCGTGGAACATGTACTGGTCCAAATACTTGCTCATGTCAAACAGGATATTCAGGAACATTTTGTGAATTGTATTATTGTAATGGCCTTGCACCAAGTGATCCAAATGTTTGCAGTGGATTTGGAACATGTTCTTCACCAAATACATGTAGTAATTGTCAAGCAGGAAGATATGGATCTGAATGCCAGTACTATGACTGTGGTGGAATTAGATTCGATCAACCAAATGTATGCTCTCGAGTAGGATCATGTGATTCAAAGAATAATTGCACTTGTCCAGAGTTATACTTTGGAGATAATTGTGAAAATTATATGTGTAATGGAATTATCAATAATTCTTCAATGGTTTGTTCAGGACATGGATCATGTTCTTCACCAGAAAATTGTACCTGTCAAGAGGGTTATTATGGAGAAGATTGTGAATTATTCGAATGTAGTGGAATATTGAAAAATGAAACAAATGTGTGTACTGGATTTGGTAATTGTACAGCATTCGATACTTGTCAGTGTGATGAGCAACATACTGGCAAATTCTGTGAAATTAATATTTGTAATGGAGTTCTCTCAAACAATCCAAATATTTGTTCCTCACACGGTCAATGTCATTCATTCAATAATTGTACATGTGATGAAAATAGAATTGTGAAATTTATGATTGTTATGGTGCTTCTAGGAATTCCTCAACTGTCTGTTCAGGACGAGGATCATGTACAGCCTATAATAATTGTAGTTGTTTAGTTCCTTTCTATGGATCTGATTGTGGATTGTACAATTGCTTTGGAGTGGAACATTTAAATAGTAGTACTTGCTCATCTCACGGTTCATGTGACTCACCAAATATCTGCACATGTCAAGCTGGATATTATGGGCAAACATGTGAATTGCACAACTGTTATGGTACTCTATTCAATAGTTCAAGTGTTTGTTCCACTCATGGACAATGTTTATCTCCAAATAATTGCTTCTGTGAAGCTGGATATTATGGAGCTGAATGTTCTGAACATGATTGCTTTGGAGTTCATAAGAATTCTTCGAATGTGTGCTTCCAGCATGGAACTTGTTAGAGTCCAAATAATTGTTCATGTCAGACCGGTTATTTTTCATTTGATTGTTCCAACCATGAATGTTATGGCCATTTATTCAATGATACAATGAATGTTTGTAGTGGCCATGGTTCATGTCCAGTTCCAAATAATTGTACATGTCAACCAGGATATTATGGATATCAGTGTGAAGCTCACCAATGCTATGGCACTTTATTTAACAATTCTAATGTTTGTTCCACTCATGGACAATGTTTATCTCCAAATAATTGCTTCTGTGAAGCTGGGTATTATGGACCTGAATGTTCTGAACATGATTGCTTTGGAGTTCATAAGAATTCTTCAAATGTTTGTTTCAAACATGGAACTTGTCTGAGTCCAAATAACTGTTCATGCCAAGAAGGATATTTTTCATTTGATTGTTCAAATCATAATTGCTTTGGAATTCTTTTTAATGATACCAACGTTTGCTCAAGTCATGGTTCATGCTTTGTTCCAGATAACTGCACATGTCAACCAGGATATTATGGCCAAACATGTGAATTGCACAATTGCTTTGGTACCTTGTTCAACGAATCGAGTGTTTGCTCAGGAAAGGGACAATGTGTATCACCAAATTACTGTTCTTGTGTTGAAGGATTCACCAATAAGGATTGTTCAGTGAATATTAGTCCATTCCAAATTAACATTACAAAATATGAAGAGGTTGTCTATTTGGAATTTGATAACAAGACTGTCAGTGTGGAAATTCAATTAATAGATCAAGTATTAAGCCAAAGTCCAAATATTTCCTACACCTGGTCATGTGTTGAATGTGATGGACAAAATGTGGTTTTCTATGTGGAATCCAATCGTTTGTTAATCAACTCTACATTAACTGATGTTACTCAAGCAGGCAATTACACTTTCATTGCAAATGCATCCATTGCTAATATTCAACCATTCCAAAGCAGAAAATCCAACCTGCAACAATTCAAATTAGTAGTCAAGTATGAATTGAATGAGCCAACTTTGGGAAGCTTTGGTTTACCATCTGTTCTAGTTTCAGGTACTCAAGATCAAACCATTTCAACTGTTATTAACAGTATCACTCTGAACACAACTACTATTAGATACTTTTTAGGTTGTGGAAAAAATTGCTCAACTTTGGTTTCCTATGAATGGAAAGTTAGTGCAGGAGTATTCTCTTACAAAAGGTCAGGTTCAGTCTTGGCCAAATATGATAATACTAACCTATTATCATTTTCTCCATCAGTTCCAATTCAAGCAAGCATTCCATCCAACTATTTGAATGAGACTGTCTTGTTCACATTCACAGTTATCAATAGCAAGCAGCAAAACATTAGCTCTTCTGTTCAAATTCAAATTATCTCCTCTGCAAGTCCTCCAACACGTGTTTCCAATCTTGTTAGCGTTTCTCCAATCTCTGGTATTTCAATGAATGACAAGTTTACAATTCAGGTTTCTGAATGGGTTGCAACATCACCTGAACTATTGCCACTCAAATATGCATTTGGTTATTATGATAAATCAAAGGCAGAGTCTGTTAGATTGACTGAATACAGTCTCAACACTACCTTCTCATCTTATTTACCTTACATTAGGTCGGAAAGCTCTTCCACCAAATCAAGAAGTATTTTAGAAACAACAGAAACAATCTCACTGGTTGTCTTTGTCAAGGACGCCCTCGGAAATGTGGAAACTGAAGCATCAGCAAATGTAACAGTCTCTCCATTTAATGGAACTCAAGAGCAATACATTGAAGTTGTAAAATCTTTGAGTGGAGAGTCGCTATTAGGTGCCTCTGTAGATCAAACCTTTACAACAAGTTCAGCATCGTCATCATTGGTCTCTGCCCTCATTTCTAATGTAGTAATTGATCCAAAGAACCCTTCATCATCTTTATCAAGCTTGGAAACACTAACATCCAATAATGAAACACTAACAGCTGATACCGTCAGTCTAGTCATCAACAAAGTGGATTCATTTGTTTCAAATTTGACAGACATTTATTTGAGTGAACTTGCTCTGTATGGCTATGTGAAATCATCCCTCTCCAGTGCAGATATCTCCAAAACAATTCAAGTTATTTCAAACTGCTTCTCTACTTCATATGATTCTGAAAAAACCAAATCGACAGCTAGTCTTGTCACTGTTCTGATTTATTATGGAACTATCCCAACTGTTGTTAGTTCTACTTCAACCGATTTACCAACAAGTTCATACAAATCTTCTCTCATTAATATTACAGTTTCTAGTTTCAATGTGCCAACTCCAACTAGTAATTTGCAAAGCGTTTCTGATACTGAAAGCAAGGTTTCTATGAATTTGACATCAGTGATGTCCAAATATGGCACCTATTCAATGACTTGTGGAGCAACAATGATAGTTTATTCAAAGAACACAAATTATGATGCTTCAGTTAGTAACATGACCCTCAGCTCCTCTGTTACTGATTTCAAATTCATGAAAAAGACAGATGTCTTGGTTTTGGATAATTTAGATTCACCTCTTATTCTTTCATTCAATGCTGCCACTATTCCAAGCTCAATAATCTCCAATTCGACTGTTACCAACAGTACGTATCATTGCAAGTATTGGGATGAGAAACTCAAAATGTGGAGCAGTTATGGATGTTCATTGCATAGAGTTTCATCTAACTCAATTGAATGTGCTTGTTCTCACACAACCATGTTTACAACTTTCCTTGAATCCAAGACAACAACATTTACCGTTCAACTCAAGGATCAAGTTTCATCATTATACTATGCCCAAATATCATTTGGTATTATTTATTTGATTGCAGCAAGTGCAATTTTGATTGGATTGATTGTTTTGAGAAAGTCTCAACCTGTGAGCTCTAGATTGCTTACTCCTTATGTTGGATTGATAGCATTAATTGTGGAATGTACATTGATTTATATTGTACAAAGATCTGTTCTAGTGGATCAATTGAATTCTGCAAATAGTCAAATGTGGGAAAGTGGAGATGCTGCTGCCAATATCATTGCAAATATTGTCATGATTATTGTAAACACCCTCAATTTAACAGCCATTTTCTGTTACGTCATGCAAGTTTTTAGATTCCAATTCATGAAACTACTCTACAAGAAACTCTCTGATAATAGAACGCAAGCTCAAAGTACAACAATTTTGAAAGCATTGAAGTATGCAACCTCACAAGTGTTATTCTATTCATTGATTGGTATATTTGCTGCTGTCAATGTTGTCTATTGGGTTATTTGGGTCATTTTGAGAAGAACTGGAGTTCTAGATTCATTACAGTATACCTACATTGTTTCAGTTTCTTATACAGTTTGTATTTTGACATTTGGTGTGATTATTACAGCTGTCGCCATCCTTGACATGATTCTCTCATCAAAGAAAGAAGTTGATCAAAAGAAGAATAGAAGAAGAGCTGTAAACTTTTCACAACCTACCAGTACTTTCAGTCTTGATAATGCTGAAAACATCAATGAAAAGAAGAAGCTCAATAAGAATATTTTATTAACAGCATTCCATTGGTTTACCTCAATGGATGGACCTCTCTATTTCAGAATGGAAATGTTCATTTATATTATTTCCTTCATTTTACTCATCTTGAATCAAGTTATTGGATTGAGCAGCTTGTCTTACAGATTTGAGAGTTTGGCCATGTTCAAACTTGCCTTGACATTTGATTCAATTTCCTTCATCTTTGAAGTACTCTATGTCATTTCCTATATTTTAGTATTTGGTGGTTATGCACTCATTGTTGCTCTTGTCTACAAGTTCAGACAACGTAGAACCAAAAAGGAAGAACAAAAGAAGCAAAACGATGAAATTATGAATCAAGAACTTTACAATACTTTGGAATCTGAGGAAGGATATGAATTATTTGCAAACTTTTGTGAAAAGGAATTCAGCTCTGAAAATTTATTCCTCTTCTCTGACATTAAAGCAAGTACAGATGTGGTATCTGGTGAAAATCTTGGAGGATTAGTCTTCTTTGCTGACCGAATCTACCAAAAGTACATCAAAACTGGAGCAGAAATGGAAGTTAACATTCCATCAAAGAGTAGAACTGCATTCATTCAACTCTATGAAAAATGTAAGAAATTGGACGAATCAAATTGTGAGCTATTGGATTTAAATTCCCTATCAAAACTTGGAATTGAAAATAGCATGGTCAAGGATTGTTTTGAATTAATGATGAGACAGGTGGTTATGAATTTGGGAGATACCTTCTCTCGATTTGTTTTCACACCAGATTATGTTAATTTCAAGGCAGTGAGAGATGTTCAAATGCAAATCATTGAGAAGGCCAACGTTGTCTATGGTATTTAATATCATTCCACAATTTTCATCATCAAAGAATACTCATTAAAATTACAGAGTTTGAAAATTACCATTTTTGAAATTATAACAAAAAAGACGATTGGACAAAATGAAGGATATTTAAAACAAGAGTGAACCTTGTAACCAAGGAATTGCGTGATTTAATAATGACGATCTCCTTGGCCCACTATTGTTATTATTGGGGTAATAACTTTAAATATGCGCAAATTCCTCCTCCATTATGTTAAATTCTTTAAGAACGCACTTTCACATAGCTCAACATTGTTTCCAATTCAAAAACAAATATTCAAACATCAAGAATACATCATCATCATGAGTACACAACCAAGAGTAGTTATTGTTGGAGGAGGAGTTGCTGGATTATCAGTTCTATCAACTTTGACCTCACATTTTGTTGCCAAAAGTCAAACATTTAACATTACATTGATTGAAAAGAAGAATTTCACCGAGTCATCTATCTTTACTTTACGTTATATGGTCAATCCACAAGAATATCATCATGAAAATTCACATGTCTTGTTGGATGAACTTGAAAAGACTTTTGACAAGAGAAATGGATATTCTGTCAAAATGATTAGTCATTCCCAAGCTTCCAAACTCGATACCGAGCATTCCAAGATTACAATTCAACAATTGGATGGAAATTCCATTAAGGGAGAAGAAACTATCGAATACGATTACCTAATCTTGGCAAATGGCTGCAGATACAAGACAGACTATATTAAGGCAAACATTGAAAAGATTGAATCTGTCACTCCTCAATCAAGATTACACGAATTTCATCAATTCTATGACAAGATTACCTCTAAGGAAAATGATCATGTTGTCATTGTTGGAGGAGGAGCTTTGGGAATTCAATTGGCAGGTGAATTAATTGATGTCAATCAATGGAGAGGAAAGCACGGATTGGAACCATTCAAAATAACTCTCGTTCATAGTAGAAAGTTGTTGAGAGATCGATCAAATTCTGAAACTGCACACAATTATATCTATAACCATTTGGTGAAGAATGGAGTTGAAGTTTTTATGGGAAAGAGAGCTTTTTATAAGGATGTTTCTCAATTGGTTTCGTCTGGGGAGGAAACTAATCCATTGATTAAGAAGGAAATTGTTTTAAAACCGAATATTCCAAATGCAGAATTGACTAGTGAACAAGTTATTGAACTTCCAAAAGCAAGTATGATATTTTGGTGTGGAGGCATGATTCCAAATACTGAATGGTTGGAAGGAAGTCATATTGCAAGAAATTCTCAAGGTTTCATTCAAGTTAATGATTTCTATCAAACTGTCAACCATCCAAATATTTTCTCACTTGGTGATGTGACAGATCTTCCATACGAAAAATTGGCAGGTTCAGCAGTCAGAGAAGGTATCACTGTTGGTACAAATATTGTCAAAATGTCAAATTTCATTCAGCAAATCAAAAAGGTAGCTCCACAATTTTCCTCAACTGCCTCAATGTTAAAAAATAAGGAAAAATCAGGAAAATTTGAATTGAGTTTGGGAAGTATTAATGGTCTAATTGGAAAGAAGGAAATCATTGAGGTTAAAGGACAAAAAGCTGCGGACATTATGACCGAAAAGGGAAGAAACAGAGCTATTGGCTTATTAAGAAATCCTGAAATTTTCATTAGAAAATTTGGTGAATTTATTCAATCGAATTTGTAATTTTCAGATAATTCTTCGAAATCTACCTCTCTTCTTGAGAAAAACATTTTGAATCATAAATTGGATGATTACAATAAAATTTGAGATGAAAAATAAACTCCAATTTCATAATGAGAATTCTCCAATGAAAATTGCAATTAGCAATAGTAAGAAAGTCATGTTGACATGATGCTGTAAAGTTTTTGGAGTTTCATCTTCTTCTATTCTACAAACTACTCAACTGGTAAATAGTTTAAAATTTTATCTCTGGGAAAGAAGAACAGTATTTACTTGATAGGAACCATTGACTGAGTTTGGAATTTGTGTTCGTCTTTTTTGTCGCACCTACTAAACCAATATTTCACTTTTCAAACGCCAAATGTCAAGTCTCATTGACATGATGAAAGGTTTAGTAGAAGAAATAGAACGAAAAAAAACTACCACAACCTATGGCACAGCAAGCTCTTCACCATTACTCTCTTCCAATCTACAATGTACCTGTCAGCAGTCCATCAAAAAGTTATGGAAGAATTAAATTGGCAGTTTTAATATGTGTTGTGATGTTCATGTTGACAACAATGATTTTGTTGAGGATATTACGAAAGATTACACCAACACCATCCAACTCGACAAAACATGCTGACCTATTTTATGAAAGTGATGAATTTCTGTGGAATACGAAACTAGAAGAAACGAATTTTGAGCTGGAAAAAGATGTAGATTATCAAGAATTGACCATTTCGCAGTGGATGCCAATTAAAATTGAGGATTGTCAAAGTGGAATGTACAAATTCTCAGCTCCATGTTTACAAAATCAAGATTCGAATATAGAAAAAGGAATTGAACTAATCTACCACTCATTCAAAATCAAAGCTCCTAAATTTTTCAATGAAAAGCAAAAGAAAATATGGATGGAACAATCTAGAGATTCTATTCTAATGAAATGGAGTCCAGATAATGAATGGGCAATTTACCCATCAATCAATGGTCAAATTTTAGTTTTTAATAATGTTTATATTGATCCAATTGTTGACAGTGATGAATGGAGTGAGAATAATTGTGTTGGTCAATCGAATTCTCATTTAAAATTTCTAAAAACGAATCCAACTCCGTTGCAAACATATGAATCGGTCGATTCTTTGATTATTTCAACAAGTCCAGATTCGTTCAGTTTCCAACACTTTCTGGATAGAGTTACTGTAGTATGGGGACAAGCAACATTGGAAAATTCTGAGACAGCAGGAAGAAAATCTTCAATACTTGCTGGAAAAGAGCCTACCAACCAATTTGTCAATGAAATTTATCAAATTATTGCACACAATCATTTCCATAAACGTGCAATTTATGCCAAGAAAGTAATCTACTCCTGCAGAAGTCCACTCGTTCATCCATTCACCACTCAACGAATTTCAAATGAAATACTTTTTCAATTGAACTTGTCATTCGATATTCCATTCAAAGATAGAAAGAAAATTGTCTACTTTACAAGAAGTAATGGCGACAGTCAAAATGGAGGAAGAATGATACTTAATGAGGATGCTGTTTTGGAACATTTAAAAGTGGAATTGCTGAAACGAAATTTGAATGAAGAATTGGTGACATTTGATAGCAGAGATTTCGCCAATTTGAGTGAAATTGTAAAATTCTTTGCCAATGTAAAGGCAATATTTGGACCACATGGAGCAGCTTTTTACAATTCTAGATTCGCACCAAGAAAATTGGCAGTTTTGGAAATATTGCCGAGTGGTGGATTTTTCTATCAAGGTTTCTGGGAACAAGCAAGTTTATTGGAACAAACTTATGGAGTTTATTATGCACAGATGGTAAACTTTGACAATGATATGATTATTAAGAATATTCCTCAATTTGTGAAATATTTTCTTCACCTTGTTGATGAATGTCAATTTAGAAAACCTCAAGATATTTTGCAAAAGTATTATCATTGGCAATTTACAGAGTCCTCTTAATTGTATTCATTGTTTGTCTTGGAATTATAAGATTGGTAACTTTTTATTCGAAACTATTACAATTAAGTTTACTCATTGAAAGGCCAACACTTTACTAAACTGTCTATTACTACCACCAGCTGTTCCTACTTTGCTTGTTGAGCATGTGATAATATTAACATCTGAGAATCTTCTTCCAACCTTTCTTACCTTTACCTTAGTTTCATTCTTGAACTGGAAGAAGTAACTAAACATTTTACCAAAATGAGGATTGAAATCAACACCATCTTCCACAACCTTGGAAAAGAAAACTAATACTTGGAAAATATCTGGATTACTGAAAAATGGTCTAAACGCTCTCATGGTTACATCATTATTGGTGATATCTTCTTTCAAGATTGGAATCATGACGGATGTGGATGTTTGGTCAATTGAAGAATTTGTAATTCCATTAATTTTCTTTAAAAGAGAAGAATCTGAATAGCCACCATTCAAATCACCGTCCAAATATAAATGTTCTTCATCAGTGTGGAATTTCTTTTGAATTTTTCCACCTCTCTTCTTCTTTTGCACTGTTTGAAAGCTGGTTTCGTCTTGATTCGACTGATTTAGAAATGTTCTTTCGTGACCTGTTGTTGTATTGGCTGCAATGTTATAAACTCTTGGATAAACTCTTTTGGTTCTCTTCTCATTGACATCTACTAATATCCAAACAATTTCATTTGTGAAATAATGTTGGAAATCAGAACTGATTCTTTTGGATGATTTCGAATATGTCATGAATAGATACTTTCCTTCACTCAATTGAGTATGACACAAAATTTGGCTCATCTTGCAGGTATTCTTCTGAAATATTCCCTCAAAACCATCCACTCGTATTGGAGTATATGAGAACTTTTTGGTGTTATTCAAACTCACATAACCAATGGATGAATAGGAAGGTTTTTGAAAGGCATATTTTAGAATATATTTCTGACCTAGATTACTCTCCATGAGGGCAATATAGAAAGCGTGGGTGTCTTCCTCGGTGGAGAATTTTTGACTAATTTTCAATGAATGATTTTCATTCTTTTCAATGTTGAAAATTGCTAAATTACTCTTTTGAGAAAATCTATCAAATGCCAGATGTGTTAAAAGAACATTCTGAGCTTTACCAATTACAGGAACATTCAATGGATGATCAGCACGATAAAGGCTATGCGAAAGTTGATGAGAAACTTCAACATGAACCCTTTCCACAAACGATTCTTCCACCTTTTTCTGATTCAACTTGAATTTCAAAAATTTTCTTTCCTTCAAATCCATCGATTGTGAAAAAATCATTTCCCTATCATTCCACTCACTAATCACCACTTGATGAGTTTCATTCACACTTCCCTCATCAGCAAACAATCCAAGTGGCTTTCCATTTTCATCATTAATTCTAATCAATCTTCCTTGATCATCCATCTTGTTTGTTTCATTACTTTTACATTTTAATTCAACTCCAATTCTATTCAACTCCAAAATGGCCACTCCTCCATAACTATACTCATGACGATGATGATATTTTAATAGGAGAACTACATGAGAGGGTTTATATTTTCTACGGTGTTCCAATAATTGACTAGAAAAATTGTCATCACATGAGAGAATAAACTTGGCAAGTTTAGGCTCTGCTCGTTCAAGTCGGAGAATAAGAGCGAGCGGGAGAGAGGAGAAGATTTCTTGTTGTGGCATTTTTTTTGATGTTTTTTGTAAACTATTGAACTTGTGTGGAACATTTTGCTTTTTAATATTTTACAAATTTTGATTCATGGTTCCAGTTTGTAATAACAACCACTTCCCTGATTTTCTCAGCAATTCTGATGAAATTTCTTGGTTCATTGTTGCACCAATATTTTACAATTTCTTGATAGAGGGTTTTACAATCAGAAGATTGACTTGAAATATGTCTGATTGCCTTGATGATTGTTTTGACAAGTTTTTCCTCATCCTCTATTATTTCAATTTTGTTTTGAATAGAATTGTCAATTAATCCATTATTAAGTACCGCAGCAAACTGTTTGTGATCATGATCAGCCATTCCAAGAGTTTCAATGAGTGATGATTCAATTAAATTGATGGACTCACCCAAAAATTGGAATGGTAACAATAAGTGAAAATGATACTCAACATCAGCAGCTCTCATTGAGCTACAAAGACTATCCCATCTAAACATGATATAAGAACAGAGCAATGAGTCTCTAAGCTCATACTTTTGGGTCTCTCGGTTGAATTTTACAAACATAGAACCATCAGTAATCCCAGAGCCACACAGAGCTATACTCGTTATATAGGCTGGAACAGCTTTGGTTTTGATTATTATCCAAGCTTCCTCTCTCGTTAGTCCTTTAACAATATTGCCAATATCTCTATCATAAATGGAGAAGATTTGTTGAATGAGATGAGAAATGGATTGTTGGAGAGTCTTGGTTTTGCGTTGAGAAATAATTTGGTCAACATAACTGCAGTGGTGCACCTCTAATGAATCCTTGATGGTTCTTAGAACTTGTGTGTCGACAAATTTTCTTTTCATAATGTAGTTTTGGAATATGGCAACCTCCCTTAAATTTGCAGTTGCACTCGAGTGTGGAATGTTGTAGGTCATCTCATTATCCGAAAATGAGAATCCATATGGAAGTACTTCTCTCAACTTTCTGAATAGAAGTGATTGGGTACTTCCTGTCCAAATACTAAGGAAATTTGAAGAACTCTTTAGAGTAGGTGATTTAAATACCTTCTTGAGATAGTTCAAAGTGGTCGGAGATAATAGTTGAATTTCGTCCAAGACAAAGTATACCATCTTATCGCTTCTTTTTTCCAAATACTCAGTGATGGGATTGTATTGAGTTGAATCTTGCATACAGTCTACTACAGTTGCTCCTTCACCAACAAAGCTTCTAATAATTCTATTAGCGTAATAATATTCTTCTTCTTGTTCGTGCTTTGGAAAATCTTGTATATCAAGATATTGAACCTCATAGCCAATGTAATTAAATCTCCTACAGCAATGAATAGAATGGAGATAGGGGAAAAGATATCGAGCCGTGGTTGTCTTTCCTGTTCTCACGAATCCAGTTATAAAAACATGATAAAAACACTTAATAATACCTCCTTGGTAATGTTCGGCACATTGGGAGGCAAATGCGTTCAATTCTGGGAAATTATTAACCTGAAACAATTCATTTGGTTTGCTAACAAAATAATAAAGAGCAGAGGAGGCACCAGCCTTAACAAACTTTACTTGAGCGCCAACAATAGACTCAAGCTCAAAATTATGAAAATTTTCATTAAATTTTCTAATTGTATATTCTTCTTCTGTTTCACTCTTTTCGGAATGAATTGTTTCTTGTTGAGGAGGCTGGTACATTGACTTTGATAATGGTTCTTCCTCAAAACGGTCACGGTTTGGATGTGGATTTCGTTTCATTTTTTTAAGCGTGTTTGTTGAGGTAATATTTAGGAAATTTAGTAATTTGCACATCACACAATTCAACTAGGCCTAACAGGAAATACCTCGCCACAACAAGATCAGCTGTTTTTGAATCATTTCATCTGTTTAAATAAAGAAAACATTACAGTTAATAATTTATTAAGAATGTCAATACGAGTAAAATCCACAAGTTAATTCCAATCATTACTGAGTTAGGTGTACCCTCACTCAATGTAGTTTCTCTGTTAGGTCCATTAGTCGAAACTTTTGGTTTGCTTGGTTGGTTATTGTTGCTCACCACTGCAGGAGGTAACGGTTGAGAACCAACTGTATACGAAATGGTTGAATAATAAAAAGAGCCAGTGTCCAAGATTATTACACTACTTGATTGAATGTTGAGTCTGAATGTATAGGTTCCAAGGAGTAATGTATCTGGAAGTTTAACGGAAACAGTAAAATCATTAGTTTTGTCCAATGTAATATATCCAATATAATTTGAGGTTGTTGATTGAGCATAGACATAGCAAATCAACGATTTGTTTCTATAATAGGAGAAGAATTCAGAATCACTTGCATTAATAGCAATTGTCAAGTTGGATAATGTAAGTGAACCTTTGACTTTGTAAGGTGCATCGAGTTTTGTAATGACAGAAGAGGATTTCAATGCTGGCATTTCACAATTTGATCCCTTGTAATTTTGATTACAATAACAATAGGAATAAGAACAAATACCATTTCCAGAGCAAACATTTGTAGAATTGGAATAAACTCCGTTGCAAATTGTCAAATCACATTGAGGTCCAAAGTAAGAGGACGGACAATAAAAAGTAATTGGTTTGATTGTCTTTTTCACATTCGAAACTATTGTTCCATTATTGAGAATGGTAATAAATCCATCCAAAGTCCAATCAGAACGAATGCTGAAAGCGGTTTTTGGAACTTGAATTGACAGAACTGGATTACTGCCCAAGAATTGAAGAGAATTAGCATAGATTTGATTTTTTCTATTTCCAAATTCATCAATCAAGAATATGCTCACATTGGCAGTCAATTGCTTGTATTTAAATAGAGATGTGAAGTCAATATGAGCAATTTTCATATCCAATGTACTAGTAGTGTAGGTACTCTTGTAAGGGATCTTATCAACACTGAAACTAGAACTAATCCAACTGTCCTCAACAAATAGAGTTTGATTGTAAACTGCCAGTTCACTAGTAGAAGCACTAAGCATCAAATAGGTTGAATTTTTGTAATATGGTTGGCCATATACTGAAACATAGGTTCTAAAGGTACCATTTTCGAAAACTGGAGGGATATAAATTGTAACTTCTTGACCCACTGTTGAAATAGCTTGCTTGTAATAGGTGACATTGTTAAACGTAACGGTGATATCAAATGTATACACATAATAGAAATATTGCAACATGCTAATCTTAACACTGACTGTATCTCCAGGATTTGGTCTAGTATTGTTGTAGGCCATTTGTAAATATTGAGGAATTAGATTGGCAACTTGACAAGTGGCACAAGTAATAACACTGACATCTTTGGAAGCTGGGTTTGATAATTGCACACCAGTCTCAGCGTCAAATACTGTAACGTCAAATATGTGACCATATTGGAGGTTGAAATTAATGAATTTTTGAGAATAAACAGTGGTCAACTCGGCAGCTGTCAAATTCTTATAAATCGTACTTCTAATTATGTTATAATAAGATGATCTCTGTTCCATTTTCAATGTAACTGATCTCGAATAAGTAGTATTGAATTTGACATAGACCATTGGCTCTGTACTACGATACACATATTCATCCTGATCTGTTTGAACAGTCACATCACCATCTTTCCAAGCTGTAAATTCACAATTTCTTCCTCTGAAACCATCCAAACATTTACATGTGTCTAATCCTTGACATGAACCTCTTCCTGAGCAAACATTAGAATCAGAGTTGGTAATTCCAAAGCAGGTAGTCTGAGAACATTCAGCTCCTGTCCATCCTAGATTACATGTACAGACATTGTTAGATGTACATTTACCGTTCTTGGAGCAAGCATTTGGATTGATCTTTCCAAAGCATTGAGGAACACATTCATAAAAATATTCATCGTTGGTCAATCCTGAAGGACAAGCAACACATCCATTGCTGTTGGTATTAAGAATGTAACCACTTTCACATGTTGGATGAATCTTTCTAACAGATTTATCCTCAACAAAATAAATGACATTATTCTTGACAGAGAGGACACAGCTAGATGCTGAGAGCGAAAGAGACGATAGATCAGTACCATCTGAACTGTAGCCCGAAGTAGACGAAGTTAATGTGGAAATTCTAGAATCTGATTGGTCAATCTTTCTCAATTTGGCACCATCAGTAAAGTAAATATTTCCGTATTCATCCATAGTAAAACAGTTAACTTTAATGGCACTCTCGGTGGCCAAATATCCATCTCCTGCAAATCCATTACTTTTACCAGCAACAGTCAATACTCTACTAGTTGTAAAATCCATCTTTCTAATGATATTTCTGCTTGTTTCCATGAAATACATTTCATTATCCCTTGTTGGATGAGAAATTAATTGAGAAGGTCCATAAAGTCTTGCCTCTGCGAATGATGCATTGTCTGCAGATGCATAATATGAAGAGCTTGGTACAATTGTGTATATTCTATCATTTCTGATAGTCTTAATTTGATCGCCAATTGACATGATAATCTCATTCTTTGAGTTGAAGGAAAAGGAGGAAAGTGAATCGACAGAATTACTCATTGCTAAACCACCTTCTGAGTAATAATAATATCCAGCAATTTTAGCCACAACTGAAGAAGTTTGATTAAATTTCAACAAGGTGGATGAGTAAGAACCCTCATGTAAATAGATTAAACCATTCTTGTAGGTCATGTAATTGATAGAATCCATAGCTGAAATAATATTGTTAGAACATGAAGATTTCTCATCTACTTACATTCATGGGAAATATAATTCTTGATTAATCTACTCTTCAAATCAATACCCTTAATGATTATGCTATCTGCTAAGTACAATTGACCATTATCAAAAAATACACTTGGTTTAGCGGAAGACATACTAGCATATTGAGCATCAATATTGACTCCTCTCAACAAGCAATTACTTGATGCACAACCAACAATATGTCTAATAGTTCTATCTGATCTAACATATTTAACAACCGATCCATAAGTACCAATGTACAATTCGTTCTTTTCTTGATCGTAGGCAAAACTTGTTATTGTGGACAAGGAAACAGACTTTGCGTCTGCCACTAAAAAGGTCTGATTTTGACCCCCACCAATAATAACCTGACCAAGGCCATTATTTTTCAATATTTCAACAGCATACGAGCCATATCCAAGCCATAAATCATCTGGAATCAACCTAGATCTGTCAGATTGAACAGGATTCAAATAAAAGGCATAGTAGGAAGAGTACACAAAAACAATGGATAATACTCCAGTGGTTGGATCAATACGTTTCACACCAACTTGATCTCTGAAATAGAGCCACTCTTCTGGATAACCTGCAAATTTCACAAAAAGGATTGATGTTACAGAACAAATAGAAGCTGATGTTGCTGGAATATTGCTTAAAACACTAGTCACTCCATCACATGCTGTTGAAAGACCAGCAATGGTTACAATGGTACCATTCAATAGAATTTTTCTGATTCTATAACTGTCTGTTGTTGTGTGAATCAAAAACAATTTCTAACATGAAAACTTACCTGCAAAGACCAACTCATTATTTGAATTGTAATTAATGGCTTGAACTGGTTGAATGAGGGCGGATGTAGCGTTGATATTGTCTCCATTGTAACCAAATACACCTGTACCTGCCAATCTTTCAGTTGTCAAAGTTTTGATATTCAACTTTAACAATTGAGCGTTATGATGGAATACCAATTCGTCGTTGTTCAATGGATTCAAAGGCATTTGAAAAGATACGTAATAAATAGATGAATAGAGAGTTGTGAAATTCTTGCTGACCAATCCATACATTTTCAAATTTCCTGAATCAATAAACAACAAAGAATCTTCTTCTCCATTACTTCCTTTACGAAATGTAGTTGCATACACTTGCCCCATTTCAATTAAATCTTGTGGACGATTCACATCCTTCTTATTCATCAATGTTGAAACAATGCGAGATTTGATAGCTTGAGTGTTGACAAACTGAGAGTTCATCAAACATGCCAATATCAGCAGTAAGAGTCCAAGCTCAAACGATAGAACTGATTTCATTTTTTTAAAGTGATGGAGTCCACAATTCATGTTCAAAAGCAACGCTTTTACCATTTTGAAAAGTGTCAAAAGAATCGTTTGAAATGGCATGTCCAGTCCAATATTAAGTATTTTTCGCCCCTAGTCAACTGTGTCTTGATTAACTCATCCTTCCAAACACAATATTAAGTGCTAAGAGTCATGAACAATGGAGATTCTCTTATTGTATCATGATTTTGTAGCATTGTGTTTGTCGATAATTCAATTGCCAAAAGAGTATGTAGATTGAGTAATTGGTTGACCATCAAAAAACCAATTTAGAAGGAGCAGATTCATACACAGTATCTCATCAAAAGTCATCACAACATAGTGTGTTAGCAGCAGCAGTAGTTCATGTCATCAAGAACTTTTGGATTGCAATTACGGAGGTGTGGAAATCCATGTCCGTACAACCCTTTGTACAAATAGATAATATTTACAAAACATCTACAGTTTAAAGGTTGAATAATTCGGTCGAGCTTCCATAATAGCAATTATATTATTGTGATTAACATGATTTCGTCATCCTTTGTTGTATTCCGAACCAAAGGCTTTGCATCATCACCCGTATTCAGCCTCCTTTAATATTAAAAAATTAAAATATAGATTATGTAGTAATTTTACGAATAATTTCCTTTGAGGTTACATATATTGGAAATAAATTTATCATCTAAAAGCAAAATTGTCATATAAATAATTTATCGTCATCACACATTTTTTTTAAAATTGCAATTTTTAAAATTTCCTCAAAATGGAAGATTTTAATATTTAACTTTAAAGTTCTATTAATGATTGAACAATGTTTACAAAATACAATATTCATCATCATCATCTGAATCAACTTCTGATTCCATTTCAATAAGGCAATTTTTTGAACAATCGTTTGCTGTTAGAATCAAAAAAAGCTTTTCATAAATGGAATTTCCAAAACGGAATTTTGAATTGTTGAAATAAATTTTCAAATACATATTAGCTCCCTCAAAATTTTTGATTAAATATTCGATATCTAATTGTCTTGTTTCTGGATCAATTATGTTCTTTTCCAATAATTCCTTACAAATCATTTCAAAGTTGATGAAATATTCGAAACCAGTATTTAAAATGACATGTTCAGCAAGACTCAATCTTGAAAGGAATTCAAGCAAACTCATTACCTTTTCTTCATGTTGGTTATTTTCATCGTTAGTCTGATAGAGGAGATGTACTGGAAAATCATCATTATTAGAAAGCTCTTCTTTCTTTACATAAAGAAACATTCCTTGATTGTGAAAGAATGGTGTAGCAAAAAAAAGTTCATTATCTCTTTTCTTTCGTACCCAATCTACATAAGCTTCCTTTTCAAATGTGAAATTCTTGGTAATTTCTTTATCTTTATACCAAAAGCCAACTTGTCCAAAATCAACCCTTAATAAATATTCTAAACAGTCTGGATAGATGGAATATTGTGAATCTTCAAAGTTTAAATTTCTGTAACTAATCTTATCTTGTGGAATATATTGTGGTAATTGACCTCCCAATTTTTCAATTGCTTGCCATATTTTAGAATTCAGTGGCGCATCTACAACATTCATACTTATTTCCAATTGTTCAGATACTATGCTTGAACTAATTTGAATAATTTCATCTTTTTGATTCTTTTGCTCTTCAAATTGATGAATGTAGTATCTATTCGAATGTTTATCAAAGTGATTGGCACAAGCAGACAAAAAACATTTCGACTGAAATTGAGAATAATTAATACCAAGAAGCAACCTGCTATTAATATCATACACGTCTACATCCCATAAACCAAAAAAAATCAAAAGACCTCCTGTAGTAATTCCAATAGTCGAAAGTGTCTTCTCTAGCTTAATCGGTTGTGTCTTTTCGGTTATTAAATCAACAATCATAAAAAGATTTGAGTGATGAACAATATTCCTTGTTCCACATTTGTGAAATAGAAGATAGAGCTTTCTTTCATAATATTTCATTTGTTTCAAGATGAATGTATTCATTCCCTTATCAACTGTGAATTGCTTTTTTTGTGAACCATCGATAGTATCTAATATATGGACTGTCAAGTATGTTTTGCATGAGAATCCAACATAAATCTCATTACCAGCCAAGCAAAAACTGTTAATGCTATTAAAATGCCAAACTATTGAAGTATCGTCAAGTTTCATTTTCGTTAACCTTCCACAATTACCATTGCTTAATAGATAAATAAACTCTGCTTGTTCATCTACTTGGAACGAAACAAAACGATCAGAAATTTCCATCGTTCTCTTCAATACACCATTTTCGAATATGGAAATCATATAAAATCCCAAACTATACAACCCAACAAATAATAAATTCAAAGCATGACATGTATCCATACACAATACCTGTTTGTTTACATATTCAACCAACCTTTCCGAGTTGATAAACATTCCTTTAACCTTTCTTACCTTCTTTCCTGTAAGTTTCGCTTCCAGTCCTTCAGAAAGTTTTCTGCTTAATGAATTATTTTCCCTTATTAATTTAGTATTTGTATCAAGACCTTCAAGAAGTATTAATTTAACGCGCTCTTCGTCGTGAGAATTATTTTCCCTAGTCCCCAAGATAGCATTAGGATAATTAGCAAAGGGATTTTGATTGTATTGTGATGGCATTTTTTTAGGAAATTAAGGAAATAAATAATTTTGATGTACTCTTTCAAAAAATGATTTGTCCAAATAATTTTAAATACTTTGGACAATATTTGGCCAATACAATCAGATCCATCTTTTTGTATATTCTTTCGTCAAGACGAATAGTTGAATGTCCAAAGTATTCTCCCAATAAATTAATATTCATATTTTCCTGCATGGAACTACAAATTATTTCTTGATATCTTTCTAATAGAGTGGTAGGATTAATGTTTCTTTTCGAATCGATTATTCCAATCTCTAATAATTCTTCAAATATCTTTGCAAAGCAAATAGTAAATGATAATACTTTTTTACCACATTCTACAATTAGCAATTTTGGAATAAATTCTGATAATGTAAAACTCTTGATCGAAATTCCCTTTTTAGAATCAATAAAAGACAAGTAAATGGGAAAATCACCACTGAAATTATTATGAATTGAAAGGTCTGATTTCTTTACAGACACAGTCAAGTTATCATCTGAATCACTTATAACGACATGATCTTCAAAATTGAGAGAATGTGGAGTAGTGATAAATTTGAATCGTGCAGCTAGCTCATCATCTTGATACCAAAATTGCATATTTCCATAGTTGGTTGTTAGTAACATTTGTAAATAATCAGGAATGAAAAAGCCAAGCCATTCAAAATCGACTTGAATGCTTATTGGTAGTTGGCATCCTAGCCTCTGTAAAGATTGGCATGTTTCTTCTTTAAGTGGCATGTTAACAACATTTGATAAAATTTCAATCCTATCCTTTTCTACTGGACAAATACCAAAGCGGCAGAGAGTATTCGAAATTGTTTCAAAATAGGAAACTGAATTGAAACTACAGGGCAATAACATTTCCAAAAGTACAAGTCCACTCTTATCATCATAAATATATGCTAGATCTACGCCTGAATAAAAAAGCAAGTAGCCTTCTTTTGTGAAATCTACCATAGATATTTCAGTCATTTTCATCTTAATTGACTGATTTCTTATCTCATCATACAAAACGATCTTACTGTTTAACCTTGTTCTCAGATCATTTCTGAATAGAAATAGTAAACGTTTCTTATCATCTCGTTTCATATTTATCAAATCAAAATCAGACAACTTTTTGCAATCTTTAATTACTAATTCACGCTTCAGTATTCCATTAGAATCTTCCCAAATTCTTACTGTCACATTTTTGTTATCGTACTTGCTTACTGTGTATATTTCACTCTTTGAATTACACAAACAAAATTGTAAAACACCATTTACTTTCCAAATAGATTTTGCAGATTCGTCTAGTTTCACCTTAATCAATTCACTTTTTGAATTCAATAAGAAAGCAAATTCTCCCGTACTATCCACTTGAAATGATTCAAAATCATCATTCATTTTAATTATCTTCAATAATTGATTCCTTTCGAATATTGCAATCGAATTAGTTTTAAAATTTCGAAAAGCAACAAATGATAAATCCAATTCCGCACATCTCGTAGCACTAAATATATTTTCCCTCCCAAATTCATCAAACTGTGGATTCATCAAATCATTATTTTCAGAGTAAATATGGAATTGAAAGTTTCGTATTGTCTTTCCTCTTAATTGTTGCTTTAAAAAATTATTCGAAAGATGATCCGATAAAATGATTGTATGATGATCAGCCTCTTCCTCCTCCCCATGATGAACAACACAAGACTTCTGGTGATTGAATTTGGTTTTCTTCAGTGGTGATTCCATTTTTTTTATTTTTTTTTTAAAAATTGTTCCTCATATTGAATATTCCCGCGCTTTTCAATTTTAAACTGCAACAACAACCAAAAAAAATGGAACCACTTCGCAAGAAGAAAAAGATTCCCCATGATGATGTCTGCTTTGGCAGCATTGTGAAGGAAGAAAATAATCATCACAATGACGAAAATGTAAAAATAATATTTGATGATAGGTTGGAAAGTTTAATGTTGAAGAAACAACTAGGAGGAAACAAAATTAAATTAATTTCTCAAACAAGGACTTGTCTTACGGAGTTTACTGTACCAGATTTATCTCCCTATCAATCTTTGGAGCGAGTAAGAGTGTGTCCACATAAAGAGTGGCTTCTTCTTTATTGTAGAGGTGAAAAACATATTCGTATTTATGATATGAAGAGTTCGAGTTTGATTCGAAAAATTAAACTAAATAGTAATAACTATTTTGAAGTGGACAGTGTTGGAGAGCATTTGTATGAATTTAGTGATGAGGAATTGAGGAAAAAGAGACTCGATGATTTATCATTAGTGTGGACTGTTTCATTGTCTGGGTATAATAGTTGTTGTTTTACAATTTGTGAATCTAAGAATGAATTGTACACTGCTTGGTGTAACTCTACTGACTTGAAAGTTAGTATTTTGGATATGAATGATGGATCAACCAAAAGGACAATTCTAAGAGAATATAGCTTCTACCACTCACCTTTGTTATCGTTCATTACCTATAATGAAAAAGAGGACCATGTTTATGTGTCCATTATTGATGAGAACTGTACTTATACTTCAGAGCATATTGTTGTAATTATTGATGAAAAAAATGACACAAGGTCTAGTATCTGGGTTGAGGACCAAGTTGGTTTCTTTCTGTCCTATCGAAACTACTTTATTTGTTCAACAACATTTGGAGAAGTATTTGTTTATGATAAGAAAACAAATGATTTATTGTTTAAATTTAAAGATGGCCTTGGATATAGTGGTATTTCATATTTTGATAACTCAACTAATGTATTTCAACAATATTATCATAATACATTTAATTTAACAACATTTCACAACGACATTGAGGAAAATATCATTGAAAGACCACTCAACAAGGAGATTTGTCTTGCACTTGAGAAATTGGGAGGCAAATTACCATCTTTCATTCCAAAGGTTCAAAATGATAACGAATATGTTATTCCAGAATGTTTACAATATCTATTGAGTGTTAAGTTTGAAAATTCAAAATTTTGGTATATTGATGAAAACATTGCAAAATACTTTTCTTTTGGATGTGACTGTTCACTTGATATTACATGGATGGAAGAAAATGGGGCATTCTTGATTGGAGGTTCAGATCAAGGCAAGTTTTCAAACTGTCTGGTTGTCAAGAAATCAGAAATTTCAAATGATGATTTTTCAATTTATTTACGCTATCAAAACGAATCAAAAGATGAATATATAATTAAGAGTTTTAACCTCTCAGAGTTTATTTCTAAATTGAGAGTTGCAGAGCATATCAAAGTGAATGATAGATACGAATATTTGATTAACTTTGAAATGATTTATGAAGAATTATTATTGAAAAGAATTATCAATCCAGAAACGAGAGAAATTGATCAATCTATTCTATTGGAACATTATCAAATCATTATTAATCGAAGAACTATAACATATGAAGCTTTAATGAAACATTTCCAAAATTCAACAATTACTTTTGATAATATGGATTTCAAAAAGATTGATTTAATTACTTTATCTGAATTATGTAGTGAGCATTGCCTTATAAAAATCTAAAGATATACGTTGTGTGTGTATTCTTAATGTTTTTCTTTATATCCATGTGAAGCTGGCGTAGCTCAGTCGGTAGAGCGTTGGTCTAATAAGCCATTGGTCGCCGGTTCGATCCCGTCCGTCAGCATTCCTTTTAAACTTTGGGAACTTTTGAATTTATTATTTTTAAAAAAATAACAAATTTGAAATCATATGATGGGGTCCACAATTCCCGATGACATTTGTTGGGAAATCTTGTCCTTTGTGGATAATCAACAAGATTGGAAATTTATTATCTTGAATTGATCGTTAATTTCCAAACAATTTTTAAATGTTATTAAAAACCATTCGAAACTTGATATTGAAATTAAAAGTAAACTCGATTCGGAAAGGTTGAATGTAATGATCCAATCTGAATTTTTAAATAATTTCCGAAAGGTTAATTTCGGATATTGTATTGTGAATGATGAAAGGTGGTTTTCCATTCTTGAAATGATGAGCCAGTTGACTGAACTTTCTCTTGAATGTAACCAACTCGGTGATGAAAGTGCTCATAAAATAAGTCAATTTAAACAATTAACTTCATTAGGAGTTGAAAATAATGAAATTGGTCCAACTGGTGCCAAATCTATTAGTACAATGAAACAGTTGACCAGTCTCAATATTAAAAATAACAGTGTTGGTGTAGAGGGAGCTCATTCTATTAGCAACATGACAAGACTAACCCACCTTGATATCAGTCTTAATAATATAGGAGATGAAGGAGCCAAAATTATATGTCAGTTGAAACAATTAACCAACCTCAATATTTCGTATAATCAAATCACATCTAATGGAATGATTCCATTTAAAGAAATGAAACAATTGATAATTCTTAATGTAGGTTCCAACAGGATTGGAAATGAAGGAATCGAGAATATAAGTGGATTGAGTCAATTAACTGAACTTGATATTGGTGGTTGCGATTTTGGAAATGAAGGAGCCAAGTCAATTAGCCAATTGACCAATTTAACATGTCTCTATTGTTGCAGTAATAATATTAGAGAAGAAGGAGCAAAATCAATAAGTCAATTGGAAAAAGTCACATGTCTCAACCTTTGTGTGAATTATTTACATGCAGATGGTGCCAAACACATTAGCCAAATGAAACAATTAACTCACCTCTATATGGATAGTAATGAAATTGGAGATGATGGTGCTGAAGACCTTTGTGGATTGGAAAATTTGAAAGTTCTTTCTATTAGAGGAAATAATATTTCGTATGATATGGTCCAGGCAATTCATGAATTGGGAAAATTCACTGTTGAAAGTGAAGGAAATTTATTTGATGAGACAGAATATGCAGATGAATATTGAGAAATGTTGAATAATGAGCATAATTGAGATGCAAGAATGTAGATGAAACTTTGAATATCTCCAACCTTAGTAGGGAAAGTATCGGCTACTTCTTCTTAAGTAACCATTACTATGTTTTTAGAATCAAGATCTAGCAAATACAAGGGTTGACAAATTCTCACAAACTTTCGAATAAAAATCAAGCAGCCCGCCAAATGTCATTTACAACTTTAAAAAAAATTGCAACATGCTCACACCCTTCATCTCCCATTAATATATTCTTGAAGTACTACACCTTTAACGCACTTACACATCTTCATCTTTCGAATACTTTCGTCGAAACTAGAAGAAATGAACAATAACAATCGAGCTCAACTCTTTAAAAAGAGACTCACTCCCATACAAACCAATAACAACAATTACATGACCAGCACGACCAATGCCACCAATAATATAATTCTCGTTGGCGAACGAAATCCCAACAATAATTATTCAAACCTTTCCAATAATACAAACAATATGATGTTCGGAGGAGGAAACACTAATAATTATAATAATAATAATTATAATAATGGCAATAATTTGCCATTGCTTATTACTCCTCCAGCCACTATCAACCTCACTAATAATATTTTCAAATAATAATATGAATAATAATAATAATAATAATAATATAAATTCATCATCATCATCATCAAATAATTATTACATTCAACAACAGCAACAATTAGGAAGTCTCGTTTCCTTAGCTTCCCTCAATAACAACAGCAACAATAACTCTAATTATAATAATAACAGCAATAACAATAATAACTATTACTCAAATCCTCCTCCGAATATCCACCTACAAACTCCAAGCAGTTGTTCCTCACAGTCTTCTTCATCATCATCTTCTTTGGCGGGAAATCAACAAAATTTTTCTTCTACCCTAAAAAATAATCAAAACTTTGGGGGAGTTTTTATTAAGCAGCAACAAGTTCCATCAAGCCTCTCTCTCGCCAGCTATTTGCAAACACCTCAACAACAACAACAACAACAAAATCTGAAAGTTATTATACCAGGAGGCGGCATGAAGTCGAAAGGTTCGTTTAGTAATGATGATATGAGGTATTCTGTCGATACGAGTTGTACCGGAACGACTGATATTGAGGAAGATATTGAAGATTTGGATAATTATAATGCAAATGGCTATTTAACGCCTGATGAGCAGGGATTAACACCACATAAAGTAGGACGTTCACCCATGACTGATTATGAGGGTGATGAAATTATGGAAAGTATTGATTCTTTGGAACAGGTTTGTTTTTTGAAATATAACAATATTTAATTATTATTATATTCATCATTAATAATAATATTAATTATAATTGATAATATTATGATTCAAATTATGAATGGACCAAATTAACTGATTAATTTTCGTTACTTTTAATACCCTTAATAATGATCTATTTAATACCCAAACACTTCAACACTGAATATTTGCACAAATTTAAATGTATTGAATATTATCACAATGTTGAACACAAATTTAACCATTATCATCATTTTCATCATGTCCTTACTCATCAATCTTCTGCCATCAAATGTATTGATGTTGCTCTTCACTGCTACTCAACACAGTCAAGAGATACACCAACCTCCACAGGTTCTTCTTCACCAATCAAACACCTCAGTGTTATCTCTCAAAACTCTCTCTCATCAACACCTACCAAAAATCCAGCCGCTGCTTCCTCTAGTAACCACCTTTCTGTAGGAAACAACAGCAATAGGCAATCTAATCTAGCAAAGAAAAGGCCACAAAATCTTAGTATCAATAAGAGTGATCTTACTCAATCTAATAATTTTGTTGGACCACATACCGATTTCAACACTTCACCAGCTAAAAACCAGCAAGCATCATTTAGAGTACCATCACCGATCAATTCTCAAAGTTCAAACTTTTCTTCGTCATCAAATAATAGTAGTTTAAACAATTCATTGGTGACTGGAGTTTCAAACGTCTTCTTTCTTCCATCAGCTTCTTCCGATAAGGGTTCTGCCAATGTAAATAGTCAGCAGAATACTCCACAGCCAATGTCAATTCATACATTCAGTTCTCAACCTTCTCCATCTCATCACTTGTATTTCAAGAATAAGAAAGTCAACACACCATCACACTCGAGTAAAATATCCAGAGCACCAACACCAACAGCAATCATGGTCAATGACACGCCAGTTAATGACGCAAAATATGGAAAGGAAACAACACCTAAGGTTAATGTTTCTCAAAACAAACATTTACCTCCAATCCAAAGAAAAGAAGAACATCCGAGCCAATCTCACAATAGTCCAAGAATTCCCAAACAAGCCACAAATACAGTTGAAGAATCAACAGGTTCCTCTGCAGTATCGACAGTCTCAACAAACGTCACCACAGCAACAACAACGACCAATAATGATACTAGTTCTACTCTCGTTTCTCAAGTTAGTAGTGCCTCCTCCAAAAGATCAAATTCTAGCGAGCCATCCTCAAAAGTTAGCACAGCTTCTAGCTCAACAAGAAAGGGATCCAAGTCAGCTAAAAAGAAGGAAAAAACAATCAAGAATTACAAGAAGGGAGATTTTATTGGTTCAGGAGCAAGTGGAAAAGTATTTTTGGGATATAATTTGGACGATGGTAAATTCTTTGCAATCAAGGAATGTACTTTCGACAGTGTACCTGAGGACATTTTGGAATTGAAATTAGAAAGTCTCCAAAGAGAAATTAACTTGATGAAGGAACTTTGTCATGAAAATATTGTACAATATTATGGAGCAGAAGTGACAGGAACAACCCTTAACATCTTCTTGGAATATGTTCCAGGTGGTTCTGTTTCCTCCTTACTGAGAAGATATGGCAGATTGTCAGAGGATGTTGTTCGTCACTACACCACTCAAATTCTTAAAGGTTTGAAATATTTGCATGAGAATAGAATTGTCCATCGTGATATTAAAGGTGCAAACATTCTAGTGAGTGTGGAAGGAGCCATTAAATTGGCAGACTTTGGTGCTTCAAGGAAAATTCAAGATATCATGACTCTCTCAACTGAATTTAAGAGTTTACTGGGAACTCCTCACTTTATGGCTCCAGAAGTTATCATGCAAACTGGTCATGGTAGATCTGCGGATATTTGGAGTATTGGTTGTACAGTTGTTGAAATGTATACTGGTAAACCACCATTCACTGAATTTACAACAGCAGCTGCAGTCATGTTCCATATTGCTGCATCGACAGAGATGCCATCCTTCCCAGAGTTTGTTTCTGAAGGGTGTAAAAAGTTCTTGTACAAATGCTTTATCAGAGATCCCAATCTGAGAGCAACAGTAGATGATCTATTAAATGATCCATGGATTCTACAAACAGATGAGAGTGATGATGAAGGAACAGATTCAGTGAGCTCACCTGCTGTTTGCAGTCCATCTGACGATGATTGTATCAATGCATTCACTCCATCCTCTGGTTCTGCTTCTCCTTTCCCTCCTGAACCAGAACATAAGTATGATGAGAGTTTTGATGAGCCTCCACATGGTGGGCCAAAAATTCATACTGAACTCTCTCAAGAAATGAAGGAAAAGAAACCATTGGATGTTGTAAAACCAAAGAAGGGATACAATAGTCAGAAGGATATTTCCATCTTTTTAAGAAAGAATTCAATGTGGCAATCACGTTCCTTCAGTAATGGAGAAATCAATTTGAAACCTGTAACAGAAAAGCAACAACAAAACAGTAATCATAGTGATTCTTCTGATTTTGAGGATGAAGAAATAACCAACTATTTCGATGATGATTTTGAGGAAGATGGTTTTAGTGGACTGAGTTCTATGAAAACTGAGTACGACCCACAAGATCCACAAAAGTTGGAGAGTCCAGATAGAAAGAAAAAGGATGCGAGCAGCAAGCAAAAGAAGGTGAGAAGGAAGTTGGAAGAGGACTACAAGAAGGAGGTTCCTCAACCTGTTCAACAACCTATAGAAATCGACAATTCACCAAAGAAGGAAAAGAAAAAGACCAAGAGGAAATCTGTCACTCAAAAATTCATTGACTCTGGTTCTTCAAATACAACAGCAACGAATTCATCAAATCAATCTGATATGGATTTATTCCCAGTCATTGAAATACCTAAGAAAACTCTCTACCAAAAAGAAAGAGAAAAGAACGACATGAGAGCAAGGAAGGAAGAAGAGAAAATTCATCTCATGGAAAAGGAACTTTCCAAGCTCGATCACAGCCAAGTATTTGCCTATCAAAAGCCTGAAAAGACTGAATCTCCTAAGAAAATCATTCCTCCAATTCCTCATACTTCCCATTCCAAATCAAAATCACCTGCAAGAGAGCGTTCTAGAATTAAATCAGCTCCAATCAAACGAGTCAGTTGTGAAGATTTATCAGAAACACTCTCACCAATTACACAGTTAGGAAAAGTAACATCACCAACTAAGACTGCCCCAAAAAATCACCGATAAATAAATTTCTATAATCTTTGCTCCAATACCTCATCCAATTCATCAATGATCATCTCAATAAATTCCTTTGCATCGTTCTCTTGTTGTTCAGGTGAGTGAAATTGTTTGTAATTTTCCACACAACTCAACAAGTCAATAAATTTGAAATGGAAGAGAACCCTCTCGTAGAATGAGGATGTTTGATCTTTCATTAATGTTTTTAAATGACCTTCGAGTGAGTGCAATCCAAGACACCAATCTTCCAATATATTTCTCATGTCTTCCTCAATGACAGAGAGCTTGGCCCATTCAAAATCAATAATTGCTTTGATTGTTTTCGTTTCTGCACAGACAATGACATTACTTGTTGATAAATCACCATGACAGAGGAATAACTTGCAATTCTCCATTTTACACTCCTCTCTGAGAGGTGACTCATTTCCAAAATATTTATCCACATACTTTTTCATGAGTGGAATGTATTTAGCAAATCGACCCTCTTCCAGAGTTTCAAATATTGGATATCTAAACTCTACCAAAGATTTCCAATAATCAACAATGGATTCAAATGGACCTCTCTTACTATCAACATAGGGGCCAATTTTAACATGAATTGCATCGCCTCTCCTTTGTAAACTGTGAAAACTTCCACCAAGCCACAATTTACCTGCATCAGTATTATCCACTTCCTTTACAATATATTCACTCCTATCCATTTCATCATTTGATAAATCAAAAGAAACTGAATCAATCACAAAATTCATTTTGTAAATTTCCTTCAAGTATTTTCCAATCTCATCAATCCAAAAACTCCTCTCATCAACATCCATTCGAGTGCAGAGCTGTCTCAATGGAACTCCCTTCACCTTCTCCATGAGAATATATTCAAATCCAAGCAGATTTTCACACGACAGCTCGTAATCAAATATTTGAGGAACTGGAAAGTTTTCACTCTTTAAAAATTGCATGATGGAAACTTCATTCATTGTTTTGGACCTTGCCCACGAATCATGTAAAGTGTTCACCTTAAGAACTAGCTCCATTTCACTTTTATCTTGACATTTTTCATTGTAAATGAATGAACAATCGTCAAATTGAAAAGATGAAGAATCATTTTCTTTCCTCTTGATCCATATAAAATAGACTGCATTAATTACACCATCACTTTCCAAATAAAATTCATAATTAAATTCAAATATTGCTTGTTGATCATTTCCACAAGTCTTTTTGAAATTCTCATCATGATGATTCATTAAAACCTTTTTAAAACAATTCTTCTCCGATTCTCCTCCTCCAATGCTGTTATTACTCTGGTGATAGGCTTTCTGTAATAAATTCGCCACCACAGAATGTTGTTTATGAAGAATATCTTGAGATTTGTTCATATTTTTTTCAATTTGTTCATTTTGTAAAATGCACTTCAAGAAGAAATAGAATGAAAATATAAATTAAAAACTAAACATTTAGTTCATTTGGATTTGCTTGTTGATAGCTTGTCTCTTAGCAGAGGTACAGACACCAATAGCCTTACAGACAGTTTGTGGGTTAAAGACCTTAGCTTCGAAGAGTTGGACGAGTTGTGGAGTGTATTGAGCAACCAAAGCAACACATTGAGACTTGTAGACAGATGGAACAAAGTCGTTACAGACCATATCCAAAGTGGATTCAACAGATTGTTGAGTATTGTTAGCAATCAACCAGTTGTCAGCAACACCAATAACATATTCACAACCAAGACACATTGAGGAATCTTCAACCTTAGCAGCAATAACTGGAGCAGCAAGAGACATCTTATCAGCAGCATCACACATCTTCAAAGTGGAACAGACCTTTTGTGGGGTAACCTTTTCGAGGATGACTTCTTCAATTCGTCAACAGCAAGAGGAACAAACTTGGTACAGAGAGATTCCAAAGAACCCAACTTGGCACAACCGAGGTCAGCAATCTTGATGAGTTCAGCAACAGCAACATCAGAAGTGATGGCATTTTCCAAATATTGGGTAATGGCCAAACAAGTTGGACAATACTTGGCATTCTTAGCTTCGAGGAACTTCTTGAATGGATTCCATTGAGCCTTCAAGGTAACTTGTTCCTTTGGGCAGACATCAACAACAGATGAACAGATGGTATTAGCATCTTCAGTTTGGATGGCTTGAGCAATATCAGCAGCCTTATCAACCAATTGTTGACAATCTTCAACTTGGAAGAAAGTACAAGCGAATTCCAATTGCTTCTTGATGGTTGGGACATCAACAGTGGAGATCTTGGACTTCAAGAAACCGACAGCAGCCTTACAGATTGGGCACAATTCAGCAGCAGCTGGTTGTGGAGCAACAACCTTTGGAGCTTCTTGCTTTGAGCACAAACTAACATCTTGACAAATGACCAATGGAGAGTATTGTTGTTCAACTTGGTGAATGAAAGTTGGCAAGTATTGTTCAACAGCATAAGTACAGAGAGTGGAGTATTGTCCTGGAATAACATTACAGACTTGTTCCAACTTCTTTTCCAAAGTCATGATAGTATCATTGCTTTCAACCCAGTTTTCTATTATTGTGAATGATATCGATTTTTAAAACGTCAAATAGCGCATCAAGTGTTTGGATAATAATCATGAATAATCATGTGATAATTATTTTCATCATTATCAAATATTAAAAGAATTAATTAGTTAATACACAAAAACAACAATTAACGGTTATAAAACATACCAACTTGAGTAACAACCAATTGACACATGTTACAGATACCAGAGTCCTTTGGAGCAGTAGCAATAGCTGGAGCAGAAGAGTTGGCACAGATCTTAACTTGAGCACAGACAATTGCTGGTGGTTCCTTAGCAATAATAGCATCGATAATATCTGGCAATTCCATCAAGACCATTTGGTCACAGAGTTGTTCATATGGACCCAACTTGGAGCAGACTTGCAACAATTCTTGTTCGATTTGTGGCTTGGTCTTGTTAACCAACTGAAGATATTTTGCGCATTATAATAAAATCATCATCATCACCAAGATATTAATAATACAACAATATTTCATCAGCATCATCATTAGAGATCATAAAAATTACAAGAAAATACCTACACCTTCGGCGGTAGCAACCAACCATTCACAGATTTCACATCCCATAACTGACTTTTCAGCTTTAACCATCATGGTTGGAGCCAAGAGGCATACCATCACCATAAGGGCGGCAATAACGTATTTAAATTGCATATTTGTATTTTTTTTAAAGGCTAAAAAAAATCAAAAGATGTTTTTTATGAGGTCTTGACAAGCAAAGTGAAGGCTCATTATTTTTAGCGCCCATTTTTTTATCGGAGTTCTTCTTCCGTTTCCTCTTTAGATTTTCAGGATGGATTGGCTTGAAGGTGTGATTGGGTTTCTGGAGCGGGAAAGCACAATTACTTGATGAAAAGGAAAAGTGAAAATGAAATTTGGTAGCACAGGTGTCTGAAAAAGTAAGGATTGTTTTTACTGATTGACATTTCTTGGAAAATTGTTGGCTTTTTCTTCAATTCTTCAACTGCACTCCTTTCATTCCCTTCAATTCATGTGAAAAATTACCAAAAATTTCAACAGTAAATCACTACACTCCTCTCCATTAAGGTGATTCCATTTCATGCAATGATTTTCGCGTTTGGTTGAATTGCCAAACAAACCATCCTTTGATTTTGGTCCAGGGTCTTTGAAATATGGCGATTTTAACACATTCAACAAAGGGAGTGAACTTGTTTATAGTGATTCGCGTTGTTGCTTTTGGAAATTTTGCTGTTTCGCGTTTTTACTTTTGAATTACAGTATGGAAAGATTCCTTGCTTGAGAATCTTTCAATAGTTTACAAAGATTTACAATAAAAAATTGAAATTATTGAGGTGTGTTATTAAGGAATGGAATGGAGAGGAATTGGAATTGAGTTTGGTGTTCTTTGAATTGCTACATGTTAAATGTCAATAAGTGAGTGACTTAATAAAACAGTTCTTGATTTGGAACTGGGAGAATAAAACGTTGGTTACAATAATAGGAGATGTGGAGTTTTTCATGATTATTACCCATAAAACAACCTTACAAGATCACAATCATATTACAGTTAATTTTACAATGACAAGAATGAAATATTAGATATTTTACCTATTGTAACGGAATACATGCATTACAGTAGGATTGTTTTTCTTGATTCGTATCCATTTGGGTGCTATTTACTGTTATTGAATGAGTAACACTGAATGATGAATATTGCCGTGTGCATGCAATTAGAATAGTTGAAAATCTTTAAGATGGTATAAAAGATATGATAGAATTTTTGACTACTTATGTTGTTTTATTGCCAAAGTTAGCAATACGTTTGATATTAGATTTATGGTCCATATTTTCATTAAATGAATGGCTACGGCCATATCACGATGAATACACCTCATCCCGTCCGATTTGAGAAGTTAAGCATCGTCGAGCATCAGTACTGAGGTTGGAGACAACTTGGGAACCTGTGGTGTTGTAGTCTTTTTATCTATTTAAGGACAACCAAAATAATAAATATTTGTGAAAGACTGGTCTAACCCGTGTGGTCCAATGGCTAAGATACCTGGCTCTCACCCAGGAGATCGATTCCCACGGCCTCTCGCACCCAAAGCGAGAATCATACCACTAGACCATGGTCCCTTACACTTATAAAAATTTACTGAACTCTGTCAGTAAGGGGTTCTTGAAATAAAAATAAATAAGCCTTAAATACAGCTTACCTTTTCAATTAATTGTCTGGGTATTATTTATATTTAATACTGTAAGATCGTTATTCTTCAACCGATTTACCAACAAGTTCATACAAATCTTCTCATTAATATTACAGTTTCTAGTTTCATGTGTCAACTCCAACTAGTAATTTGCAAAGCGTTTCTGATACTGAAAGCAAGGTTTCTATGAATTTGACATCAGTAATATCTAAATATGACACCTATGCAAAGCCTTGTGGAGCAACAATGATAGTTTATTCCAAGAACACATAATTATGAAGCATAAGTTAGTAACATGACTCTCAGCTCCATTTATCATAGCGTTAATTTCACATTGATTTCACATTGCTCTTTCAATAAACGTAGTTCTTTCAATTCAACGTATGTATAATTCAAAATTGAAATTCACTCATGTTCTTTCAATAATCTTCAATAAATAATTTACAATCAATTTTCATTCCAATTTTTCTTTATTTGATGCCAAACCATCTGTAACAGTATATTGTTAATCTTTCTTA